GAGAAGAGATGAAAACAGTAAATAATGACTTAACTCGAAAACAGTTTATAACTATTCAAATGAACCTTTCTTATTCATCGGCGAAGTAAGAGTAGCTATATAACTAGAAAAAATGTTGTAAATTTTTTTTTCTCAGATCCTTATCTATTTTCAATTGATCCTTTTAAAAGATTAAAACGGGTGGTTATGATATATATAAGAAAAATATAAAACTAATACTTTTTTTTATATGAAAAAACGAAAATTTAGCGGTAAAAGTGGGAATTCTGCTTATAACTTAAAAAATTCATAACTCTTCCTAGAAGCAACTTCGGCACGAACCAAGCTAGGATATATCATACCTAGTTATGCCCTATCGAACCATGAAACCCCCAGTCGAAAAGCTTTTTAGCACCTCGGGTGGTTCCCTCGTGAGTCTCTAGTAACAGAAATAGCGGTTGTAAAATTACTAAATATGAGATATAATCCATATTTTAATCAAGTATCTCAGTTGAGAAATCAATATTTCTGCGAAAACATTCGTTTCTCAACTGGGATACATTTTATAAAATATGGACTTCACCAATTTCTTAACTAGGATACAATTTTGACACGTGCGTTGAAACTTGCTATTGTGCAAGGATCGGTTGTACGAGTGCACGAATTTCTGAGATACAATTTTGGCAGTGTGGGATGTACTAACTTCTATTATTCAATAGTGAATGAAATGAGATTAGATATATGATGTATCTCTATTGACTATTTGAGGAATTATTGTCACATTATATGGTCAAATATTGTGTATTTTCATGTCCATGGATACTAATTATCACGTTATTTTATCGTTTTTTAAAACAATTGAACAAGAACAATCATTAAATGTATAAACCTATCTTTCGCTTTCATGTTTATTCGTACGTTGGTGATGAAAAAGATTTTCTTGAAACAATATGGAAGGAGCGTCTTTTTGAGTTTCTTTTCAAACAAAATCCATTTCTTTTTGAAATATGTCTTATCACTGTTTCATACTTATATAACTATTGAATAACAGACCTTAGTACACCCGACCCTTGCACAATAGCAAGTTTCAACGCACGTGTCAAAATTGTATCCTAGTTAAGAAATTGGTGAAGTCCATATTTTATAAAATGTATCTCAGTTGAGAAACGAATGTTTTCGCAGAAATATTGATTTCTCAACTGAGATACTTGATTAAAATATGGATTGTATCCAAGGGGGAAACAGCAGAATTTCAAGCAGCTGTGGACTTTCAGACCTACAGAAGCCTGGAGAATTCTATACAAATTTCCATACAAAATCGGAAAAAGGGATGAGAATCTGATGAAATCCCGAAAATCTGTAAAAATGACTGAAAATGGGGCTAAGCTGGAAAAACGCGGGAAAATTCAAAAACAGTTAGAAAAATTCTTCGGGCTCAGCAAAGTCATGAAGAATACCCAGGAGTCTTCAGGAGTACAACAAAATTTGAAAAAAGTTGATTACCTGTGGAACAAAGTCCAGATTACAAAAGTCACAAAATCTGCTGTTTCCTCCTTGATTGTATCTCAGTTGAGACATTACGATGCGTAGCTACTTTTTGTACGATAATTAGATAGAAACTAATTACTCATAATCGTTGTAATATATGTAATATAATTGTAATATATATTAGTTTAATTTTCTTAATTCCAAAAACAATAATGAGTTAACAAACAAAAAAATACACCCGTTTAAAAAAAAATAATGCCAATTAAAAATAACATTAAAAGATGGTTAATAAAGCAAAAACACCGTAGAATAGACAACATGGATATGCAACAAGTACTTGCTGACCGATCATTGATAGTGAAGTAGAAAATAGTTTAGAGGCTGATAGTGAACACCATAATATAAAAAATGCTGCGATAACAAGTCCAATAGGACCATTTAATTTGAATAGAAACGATGAAAATGATAATAAAACCATCGGCAAAAGACAATAGCCAAGTACACTTGTAACATAAATTCCTGAACAAGGTTTTTCAGACATCATATTTAATAAGCTATACATTGCAAAACATCCAATAAGAACAATACCGTAGACATAACCAAAATGTATTTTACCTGAACAAGAACCAAAAACGATTAAATAGTAGTCTCTTCTCAAGGATATACTCCTCGTTTTTTGGGTTTCTAGGACAAGGTGAAGGAAGCTTAGATTAAGCTTAAAATTTTTACTAGAGCTAAAACTTCGAAAAAGAAAATCGACACGTTTTTTGCTCAGAAGTACATAAAAAGGTGTTCAGTCGAATTAAATTTCAAGGAGCAGTAATGGTCAACAATGAAAAACCTGGTTTATCAGAAAACTCATCGTAGACTTTTTTAGATACCTTCGAGCAAAAACATGTTGAATTTCTTTTTCAAAATTCTAGCTCTGAAACAAGCACGTCAAAACGAAAGATATTAGTAGGATTTTGTTTGCGAGATTAAGCAATAGAAACTCGCCTCTACAAACAACCATCAACAGAATATTAACTTTTACGTACCTAATAGTAGTAGACTAAAACCAAATGCAAAACAAAATACTAATGGGCCAGCTAAATCACTATCATCCAAAATTGATGTATCAGGTTTAGCGAATGGATTTAACACTGATTTTGTTTTTTTAAATATATGATCAAAATTAATTCCTAATTCTTCTAATAATGGTGGCTCATCAACCAGCTCATCAGGAGTTGTTGGATTAGTTTGTTGTGAATTTTGATTCATATAATCACTTGGCTTATAGAATCCTGCTGAACTTGGTGGTGGCATAAAATTCCCACCTGTGGTCTGATATTGTGGTTGCGGCACGAATTGTGTGGGATAAGGTGTTTGTGATTGTTGCTGGTGCGGATGCTGATAGTATTGGCCGGATTGATCAAATTGTTGTTGTGGATAATTTTGCTGACCATCATTGTTACCCGGATTATAATAATTATTCGGATAACTTTGATCGTGGAGAAATCCCTGCTCAGGATTCCAAGACATCTAAAAGTTGCAAATGAGTTAAATTCATCCGAAAAATGCAAGAGGACAAAGCAACCAAAAAGTTCCGTCGAATACTGATGTATATTGAACTATATTTAAAGAAATTTACTTGTGAAAAAAAACAATAACAACTATCATATTTACTTGTAAAGAAAAAGAAAAGAAAATAACAAAACGTTTAGAATAAAATAAGAAAAAAGTGAGACAGTGTTTCACAAAATTGGTACTAACAAAAAATATTGTTGTCGTTCATTTGCCTAATACATTTCAATTATGAGATTGTAAGTCATTTTTTAGAAGCAGTCAGATTAGTCGCAGCATTTACTTTAAAATACATAATATCTTCATCTTTCACATTTTACTGTTTGCCTTGTTGACGATATTTAGCTTAAAAAATTCAGAATTATCATACGTCGTTCTCATTCCAATCACTAAAACGATTTTTAGAGAGTTTCGGTTACATATCGATTTTGAAAGTTTGGTCATGCCCGTATATAGCTTTCTTTTCCAAACCATTGTGAATTATTTGTGCCATCTCGATATCTTTCAATCTAAAAAAATGTATTCTCAACAAAGCTTTAGAATATTTCCTTCAAGATTTTTACCTTAATCCATCCATTATAATTTCAATATCTCTGAATGGATCCACCAACATTTCCTTCTACACGTGCAATATCAATTTCATCAAATATACCTTAAACAAAGACAAAAGCTTTTGATGTTGGATGGTTAAACGAGTGAATATGAATACTAAACGTACGAATCATATAAAAAATTTCATCACAAACTTTTATATGAGGCGTTAACGGTTGATAGAATTCTGTTAAAAAATCAAAATGAGCATCAGAAACAGGAACACAACCCAGAAAAACATGAAAACATGCATCACATTGCTGACAAGAAAAAAATATTAGTTTGTACTTTCATGAGGAGCAAATGTGTAGTATGAAAAGTTCTCAACAAATACAGACGACCTTCTTAAGACATTAAAAAATGTCGATTTACTGTTAATAAAATAAAAACAACGAAATAATTGTAAATTTCATTGAAATTACACGATATCCGTCCGATATTGTATAAAAAACAATGACTCTTCCTATAACAATAACACGTGTGACATAGTCATCTTTTCATACTTACGGCAATCCAACGATTCCTATTTTGACATTTGTACCAACACGATTGATCAGCGGTTTTAGTTCTGCTTCTTTTTCCTTTTTGGGTAGCATCTTTCTCTCTTCTTTTTTTTAATCTGCAATAAACGATTTTGAACAACGATTATACACGAACGAAGGTAGAGCATTTTAAAATACAACAAAGTTTGTATTATATGTCTCTGTCGGACATACACGTAATATTACTCACATGACAAAGATGCGTTTAGGATTCAGTTTTCTTTCAGCGAACCAATACAAGCAACATTTTGTACCCAGTCCTTTATGTCAGACCTGAATCACTCCCGAAACAGCGGAACACTACTTCTTACACTGTACACGCTTTGCCCAAGAAAGATTGCAAATGCTAGCCAACTTCACATTAGTTACAGGCACAAATTCTTACGCTGGTATAGAACAGATTTTAAAGGGGTACGATTTTTTGAGTGTAGAACAAAATTGTTTCTTAGTAGAGCACATACATCAATACATTGAGAACACAAAACGTTTTGCTTCATAACTCATCATATTATCCATCTGTGTTTAGAAATTTTGTACGTATGTAGAAAATAATTATTAAAAAAAATTTTCCATGCTTCTGCTCTTCTCTTCCTTTCTTATCTTCAATATCATCTACATTTTTATTGTGCACGTGTTTATTGGTGACATCAAGTTTAGTACTCAAGAGGAAAAGTATTTTCAATAGTATAATTCTCTTTAAATAAATAATGATATATATTATATGTCCAAATTTTCAGATAATTTCACGTAACAACAGTTACAGAACAGCAAATGTCATAATTAGTCGAATAAAGAAAAGTTAAACTAGTAATGTGCAAATTAATCATGATTCGCTTAAAGTGTCAAGTAAGATTCAATCATTCTGGCTAGTTTACCTATTTGAAAGTGAAATATACCTGCTAAATACTGAGTTATTCTAATAAAGGGCGGACGAAAATGCAAGGCAAAAGTATCTCTTAACCCAATTAGCAAATGCACTTCTTAGATAACATGCACTACGCGTTCATCAAACTGTTTGAATATTAATAATTGAGTTTGAGTGAATGAGAGAGATAAGGATAGAACAGACAGAAGTAAAGTACAAAAGAACACTATAGAGTTCATGGAATTTAAACTCTGAGATGTTCTCATTTCCATCTTGTGCACTGCTATAGTGTGTTCTCCCTCTAGTGCTCAATTCATACAGCTTACATATTTTATCAGTGACCAGAGCCTGTATGTTTGCATAAACATACGGCTCGAATCAGACTCCTGCAATCAGTCATTAACAATTCATTGTCTCTCTGTATATTCATAACTTTGTCAGAAAATGTTAACAACAATAATAATGATAGAAGCCAAAAATATAATATAACATGGAAGAAAAAAACAACAACGATCATGGAGAGAAAATATATCCATAATAATCCATACAGTAAAATCGTTTTTAAAAATATTTGTATCAATACAGTAATGAGAATTCCTCTTTTCTACTAGGGAAACTTCACTCATCAATGGAATAAATTAAGACCAATAGATAAGACAAAAACGGTCAATCGTACAAAGTTTATGCACAAAAAAAACACATCTGCTCCTCAAGTCATCCGGAAAAAACTGTTCTTTCATGAGAAAGTATTTATCATAGTCTTTTGTATTATCAAATTTTTGCTGTTGCTGCGATTATACGTTTTGTTGTCGCTACTGTTCCCAGGATAGTAGTCGAAATAGTTGACAGTTTGGTTTTTGAATCTGTGACGTGAAAAAATACTAACATAATACTGACAGCTAGACATGTATGCATTAAAAAAACGGCTGCCATAGACAATGCTGTTACTCGCTTTTGATCGATCGATACAGTTGGCCAAAATGTGACAATTAATACACTACCACTAATTAATGAACCGAAAATTGTTAATAACCATTGTAGCCAATTTATTTGAATCATCCATAAGATACAAATTGGAATAAATATTGTTAATGAATAACCATATACACAGAGTAATTCTAAATATGTATATTCAATTCTATTTAAGCGCCAACGAAAAAATAAATAAACAAATGCTGGCATCAACCACCAATAAAGAAATAAGATCTAAATCAGAAAAAAATAACGTTTAGATCTATTTTATTAAAAAACTAATATCTTTTTGAGATCAAGTTGTTTTCTAATCTGCCTTCATTACTTCATCTTTAAATCACCCTTAGTAACCATGCAAATATCTCACATACTTACAATAGATGACAACGTTATTTTACTGAAATCAATTTGAAATTCGGTTGACGATAAACGAAAATAATCTTTAATATTTCCACTAATGGCGATTGTGAAAATAAATGTAACACAAACCCAAAACGGTCCGTACAGATCCGGATTTTGGCGGATAGTACTATCGAAATAACTTTGATTCGGTCTTGGTGTTATGCTGCCTAGAATCAAAATGGTAGTATGATTTAGATAACTTCAGGGATGCGAATGACCACCGTAAATTGTTACACCAGTGTTCAGATAACAGCTAAAATACACGTACCTAATAATCTTTGTAAAACCTGTTTTGTATCAACCTCAAAATATTGTCGATAATAATCAAATTGCCATAAACGTGATTGTTGTTTATTATTAGCTGTTGAAGATGTTGCGGGTCGCGGCAATGAGAATTGATCAGAATTCGTTGTATTATATACATGAGCATCACGATTATTATTACCAACGTAATTCTCATCAGCATCATCTTGATCAACCGCTGAACTAGGAAAACTCGTAAATACGTGAGTGTGACTTTTCATTTGTGGAACGGCTGCTGCTTGTTGTTCATTTAAACTATCATCGTTTAACAAGGGCCGCTTGTCCATAGAGTCTCAAAATAAAAGACGAACAAATATCTTAAGGTGCTAGGATGTTTACTATAATTATGACCAGGTAAGATGAAATCAATAGCCAAGTATGTCTTACGTATTTTGATAGACACTAAAAAAGCAAAAGTCTCCTTTTTCATTTTGTCTAACTATCGGTCCCATGTAGATGCGGATGCATCTGTCTAAAAAGAAGTTCTAAAGTGCTTCTTCATATGAAGTAATTTTTTACAACGAAGGGACTGATTACGACAATTCACGTCAATCCACATTTGATTGCGAAAGTCACTGCTATTTTTAACGAATAATCCAGGACAAAAGGAGGGAGAATATCCCCAGATACCGTTACTAATTTAGAGTATTGACAAGTGACAGCTTCAATAGCTCTATATCTTCCCTACAAATGATAGGCTTCTAACAAAATCATCCACACCGTTATTAGTAACCAACTGGAGCTCTGGCTAGAAGATTACCTTGAAGCAGAGTTGGAGTTATTCAGATTAAACAGCGGTTATTATATGTTATTAGCGAATGATAACAGAGTGAAGAAGTAAGATGTCTCTGAAGATGATGAATACTCATTACTAAGCATAAATACAAAAATTCGAATCCTTAGTTAAGCATATTATTGAGTTTTTCTTTCATTGTGAATCCTCCACATAATGAGAGCAACACAACTGAATTATTCTACTCTGCTGGATGACGGTAAAGAGATTCAACGGACATCAAAGTTAAGAACTGGATCTGACAATCAATGTCAGGTGGTGTCCGATTTCAAGATGAGTCAAACTAAAAAATTAACAGTTTTCTTTGAGTACTGTACAACAGTAGCAGTGCTATCTATGACATTTCGAAAGAGTTAAGTTGATACGTGGACTGATGACTAAGTGCATTGGCTTAAATGTCACTAAAACACTCAGAAGTTAAACACTCAGTCGGCTTAAAAAGTGAGACAAGTGTACAGTAGCACCAAAAGTGTGACGGTGACCGTTTCTGCGGAGAAAAATATCGGTTGGTCGCATACGACCATCAAAATATAACCATCGACCACTAACATAATAATTCTGTGTCAAAAAAAACTCCTTCGGGGAATATTAAGAATATACCATCATTTTATTAAAAATTTTAATTTTAAGTTATTTTTTATTAATACGGAATAGATTTTAGAGGTGTTGCTCTGCGACAGCAAGGAGACGATGGCGACATGTCTGTTTTGACTATTAAGGGAACAAAGTGACAATATACTAGGTACCGTGAAATGAATCGGATTGTCGTCTCGCAAATTTTGTTTGCTAGTTGAGGAAAACCTTTAGCATTATGACCGATCTGAACTCTTTCGTGTCTACTATGGCTTTTTTAAGAATTTTTATTATAACTGATTGACTTTCAGATTATTCTCTTAACTGACTATGTTGGACACAGGATTAAATGAACGACGCCAAGACTTATTTCAAACAAGTTCAGGCGTCGGACATCAGTACCGCCCAGGCTATTACTTTCCTAGCTCAAATTTTAAGGTAAAGGTTTCGAAGTTTCTTCACAAAACATCCATATACTTACTAACAGATATTTTGTTTCAGCGCGTTCTTACTGATCCATTGCCACCAAAATTAGCCTGTGCTGACGAAATCACACCTGAACAACATTTCAAAAGTACAAACAGTCTGTACTTCGATAATAAATATCCACAACAAGAAATTTACAATGATCAAATTCATCATCACAGAAAAGCACCTGCTCACTGGAAAGTGAATTATATGACAGATTTTGTTGAAAAGGTATTATCATTCAACGTACTAGAAGAAATCGAGCCGTTCTACTTCATCCTTGAAAAATGAGCTGTCCCTAGGAACTTCCTAGGGAAAGGTGCGTCTTCAAAGAGTCTTTATTGGGCTCTCTTAGGAGTTCTTAAGAATTTTTCGTTTTTTAAAGACTTCCGGAAAACTTTTCGAGAAAGTATTGCCTAGGCTGGAGAACAGTAAATTTGTGCTTGTAAAATACGTCATTAGTCACTAACACTCGTCGGCAGTTTCAAATTAAAACTACTACAGCAAGTAGATATAGAGCACATCGGGCGTTTGTGGTATTAATCAACAATACTCAGATGAAAAACTACTAACGCCGGATGTCCGTAACCTTCAATTAACACTCACCGCCACGTCCAAAACACGACGCACAACATCCGATTAAAATACGTTGAAATATCTTGAGAATTGTAAAAATAGCGAAAAAATCTCTGAAAATTATCTAACATCCTAGTTATGAACGGGAACCATCTTTTGAAGATTATTGGTCGATGGTGGTTGGTCTAGAAGGATTTTTATTTCTTTTTTAGATAAAAGCTCATGGGTGGAATCGTTCATTAACAATGGCAAATCAAAAAAGTGAATATAAACAAGAATTTGATGCAAAAGAAAACATGAAATATGAACTTGATCGAATAGATCGACAATTACCCTATTTGACAGATGAAACTCAACCAGTGACGAAAGTAAGAGTTATTCTGAAAGATTGAGCGTTTCGAATTTCTTATTGTACTTTACGATAGCCGAAAAGTATAGTTTTGAGCTACTAAAAATCAGCTTTAAAAGATGAAGTCTCAGGGTGTTAATTGATGCTTTACTTCTGTTTGTTTAGGTTTTACTTGAAGATGAAAAAGTGAGAAGAGCAATACCGCGGTCATGGGATCCCAGCGAACAAGGAGTTTTTAATTTGCTCGATCCGTATTTAACAACTTATAATAAAGAACATCGCCGATGGAGAAAGTAAGCTTGTTTACTATTGAAGTTTTTTTAACAAAATGTTATATTTTTTGTTTTAGAGACGAGTGGCAGGGAATAGCAAAAAAAGATCCAGTTACTTATTGGGACACTGAAGAATATCCAAAAACATGGGGTTTTGGCAATACGCCGAATCATTTACCGATCGATAGTGTTGATCGTGAACAACTGCCGATGCGAGATTCTTCATGGTTTTCGCAGTCGGCCAAGATTCGTCAGGTACATCAGCCACAACGTTTCATTCCACACAGTGGATTAACCACAGAAACAAGAGAACAGTTTGTCACACCAAGTCATGTAAATGCAAGTGAAATAAAATATTGTCCATTGGTAACTCCCTTCGTACAACCTTATCCCTCTTCACCCTCAGCCTATTGTGCACCTGACATGTATAAAAAAGAATCAATGAACATCGGCAGTGGCAAGCCAGTTACAGTGACAAAGTAAAATAGCAAACTGTAGATATCTAAGATTATTTATTACTTTTCCTATATATCGATATTTTTTTTTAATCTTTTTTTTGAATAAATAGTCATTAATTCAAGTTTCACAAATGTAATATGATATAAGAAAATATAAAGACAGACCGCTTTTCAGTATCAGTTTTGAGACTGCTGTAGAGAGATTCGGTTTAAGTCGAATATTTAATTTATTCTAAATATTATTTATAATTGGCATTATTAATGCAATAAAACGAAGAAACGTTCAAATTGATCTCCATTCTACTTTTATTTGTTTACTGCTTTATTCATGTTCGAATTTTGTATTTTATACCTTACATACTATGTTTAATATCTATAACATTAACAATACATTGTGCTAAACTAGTTGTTTTTATATTTCAATGATGATATACTGTAGTGCAGACATTATGGATAGAGGAGAGGGAAGAAAAGCGGTTTAGGATTTGGTTTTAGAATGAATGTATCTCTTCCAAGATCTTCTTGTTTCTAAATATAAAGCTGCATATACGATAAGTAATCCTCTGATTTTTTGTCATAATTTTTTTGCTAGTTATAAGCATACGTGTATATACATAGAATACTGATAATAAAGATGTCTAATATTTGAACAACAGCAGATAAAAACTAGAACAATTAAATGTAACCACAAAAGATTACCGGAAAATGTCTATCTGTATATATTTGTGTCATAAAACACGACAGATTGGTTTTTTGTTCTTTTATTTTAAAGGATTAGTTTCATGAAGTTTACTCATGAAGTAACAAAGAGATTTTAATCTCTAACAAACCAGTGTTGTTTGTTAAAACAAACAACACTGGTTTGTAACAACACTTTCTTGCTTGTGTTCTTGCAATATTTCTTGCCAGATGCAACAATCACATGTTAGGGTTTTCCATAAATGATAAAGGGGGTAAAATTCCACAAGTTCTGAAACGATTTCTAGAACGGTGAATTTATAAATCGTTTCAGAAAAAAAGGTCCTTGCTATACCGAACGATAGACAATTTAATTCCCTACAAGATTGTATATTCATTTTTAAGATTCATCTTTGATGTTTGGCTCAGTAAGCCTAATAAAAAAGCTCCAAATTTTCCAAAATTCCAAGCAGTTTTAAAGTACAAACTACTCTCTTTTTTTAATTGTTTATAATGAGTACAAAAAGATTTGAAATAATTTTATTACAGTCAAATGGTGGAGAATTCCATGCTTTACAAAAGCGTTTACTTGTAAGAAATTTATTTCAATTGCTAGTACCTTTAATACATAAACTTCCAAGTCCACCGAAGTTTCTAGTATTAATAAAAAGGTTTTGACTATTCCAGTACAAAATTCAAAGCTCAAATCATTAGTTTATAGACCAAAACATGCAGAATTTCGCACTCTATTAGGCTGTGTAACTTACAAATAAATCTGCTACTTTTTTTACCTGAAAAACTAGGGAATACTGGTTGTCGCTAAGATGGCGAAAACTAGGAGAAAATGACCTTTCTTAAAGATCGCTCTGATTTCAACTAAAAAAATCATTGTTTGTCATTGAAAAAAAGCATCATATTGTAGAAAATGTCTTGCTGAATTTTTCGGTATACTTTGTTTTGTTGAATAAGTGATTTCTAGCGAGGTTTTGTGCAGAAAATCGATTTTTTGAAGGAGAATTTAAAAAATTTCGAGCTTTTTCTGTTAGACTTACTGTACCAAACATCAAAGATGAATCTTAAAAATGAATATACAATCTTGTAGAGAATTAAATTGTCTCCCGTTTGGTATAGTAAGGAATTTTTTTTCTGAAACGATTTATAAATTCATCGTTCTATCTATCGCTTCAGAACTTGTGGGACACCTTTTATCTTATAAGATCCTGGATTAAAAGAAAGTATAATATTTCAACAAATTTTGCAAGATCTTACGACAAGAAATTTATATGATACGACACTGAAATGGACCTGTGTTTTTCCGTTTCTAAAAGTTAAACCCATACAGATAATGAAAACAATTCTGTATCGATCCATTGAAGATTTTGAGTTAAAAGTCAATAACCATGAACTGTAATATCAAAGTGATTTATTTTGTGTTTTTATGGGGTCTATAGACTAATGTTAAAAAAGAAAAGTGTTAAACGGCTAATATTAAATATCATTTAAATATTGTTCCATCTTATCTAAATATTAGTCTGTTCAATATTTTTCTTTACTTAAATATTTTTCCTTTATTTTAAAATAATTAAATATTTTTCTGTCCGACCAAAAACTGCTGTAATATTAACGTCATCGCCAGCTTTAATATTTGTTTTTTTCTGAAAAATAATTAAGTATTTTTAGATCTTACAACAAGAAAAATATTTATTAGACCAGACAGAAACATATTTAAATAAGATAGAAAAATATTTAATTGATTTTTAATATTAGCCGTTGAATATTTTTCTTTTTAACATTTTTCGGCATACCCGTTTTTATGTATGACAATAATGCGGCAAACGTGGTGAGGAAGTCAATGAGATCCTGACCTGAGAGAATATTGCTTGCTTTTCATATCTGAAAGAGCAGATCGATTAATTGCATAATTTGGTTAAAAATTTTGATATCCTGTTATCTTTAAACCACACGAAAGCGTCTGTTACGGATAAAAATATGTGCAAGTTTTGAAGAAGGAGAAGAAAGAGAAGATGGAGTATGAATAGATACCGCTCTAGTCAGAATCCTAGACAATCCTACTAGGATCTTAATAGGATCCTAATTAAATCCGGGTGATCAGAAAGTTCTAGGATTTTACAGGATTTGTCTAGGATTTTATTAAGATCCTATTCTCTAGGAAGATTAGGCAGTGAAACGGATAGCGTTATTTATGTGCTCAGTCCAAATATGGACGGCCGTATAGAAGCCGTCGGGAATAAGAGAGAGAAAACGCCATAGTTCCGGTTACTGGAAAATATTGCGATGAATCCACAATATTACAATGTAAAAACCCAAACTTTTAGCGAGACCGGTTTGATTTGTGAACATCTGCAATTACATAATATCCAAATGCTCAGATATTCTCATATTCAAATGTTTAGATATTTAGATATTCAGATGTACCGATCCATACATGTTCAGATCTTCAAGTATCTTTCTGTTTTCTTTCACGATGGCGAATATCAGAGAGGGGCTCACTCTCATCTCCTCCATCAGTTCTCTCCAAAAATCATAATTGTGAAAATCAGACACTACTGCTTTTATTCTTGAAAACTAAGGAATTCTATCAGCCCGAGAAGTTTAAACCTGTATCATAGGCGAATCGCACAGTCAACAACATTTATAGCCTTTAGAAGCATTTGTCTTTATTTTAATAAAGTTTTTCAATTAATAATGCCAATGAGTTGGGTAGAAACGAGCAATCCAGTCTGCGGTTATTTTCAGATTTCAATCTGTCGTTGCAGTGTAGTTGGTCTCTGTTCAAACTAATTTAGAGTAAAATGTCCGTCATCGAATATTGCACAGTAGTTGTGATCAACTTTATATGATAAAATTGAGGCATTACAATGTTCCTAAAAAATAAGCATAGTTAAAGTAATGAAGAAAGAAAAGAAAAATGGAGTTCTCTATAATTATTAAAATAATGGGTACGAAGTGAAAATATAAATGTATGCAGAATGCAATAAATTCTAAACAAAATGACAACACATCAAAAGCGAGAGAGACACAAATCGGACATTGCATCCATATAATGCATTTGTTGAAATGATTAGTCCTGAAAATTTCAGAAAGAATATTTGAATTTAAAAAGTGGTTAAAATTATTTTGTTGCGGTATTTCTTCATTATGCTCAATAGGAAGTTGTAATGCGTGCTCGCTCAGTGAGAAAGGATACAGCATTCGTATTTCTAATGATTTAACTGTGCATCCTAAAATGTAAAATAACTGTCACAGTTAAATGGCTATTAATAGGCTATTCTTCAATTGCAAAATATACAGCGAAAAAACTAACATTTAAAATTGTTGTTCCATTCACCCTTTTATTTTGCAATCATGACTGGTATATAATATATATTTGTATATATATATCTGAAATTTGGAAGAAACTGGCAGACTTTTCTCTTCCCCAACTGTACGAGTCATTGAAACTTGTCTCGTGGAAGTCACCGCTGTTTCTGGATATGGTGCCATTGATGGCGCCGTGAATCTAAGAAACCAAAAATGTTGGAAATCACTATATTGGGGTACTAACCAAAAAAATTTATCGAATCAAAGAAAACATTCGATAACTGACCGTTAACAGCCAACAACGGTGCAAAAACGGCTATCACATGATGTTATTAACTGCCTATTTTCGGACAGTTTTCAGCCTGTTAAAAAATGGCATTTTAAGGCAGTAAAACGTTCCCATTTATGAGGCGTAAAAGTAACCATTTAATAACTATTTCATTAACTATTAACTGACATTTAATAGACAATTAATTACACCATTTTCAACGTCCTGGGTAGGTTGGCAAGCTGCATGTTGAAACAAGAGAGCGATCTTCTTCTATCTTAGTCGAGACCAGAAGGGCGAATAGTAATACAAAGATTGAGTGAAATGGATTCCCATTCGGACATGAGATAGATGTTTCCAGACATCAACTCCTCATACAGCCTAAATAAAAGCGTATGTGCGAATATCCCAAGATCTTCGGTAGTCTTTTGCGAAACTCGTTTCCATATTCTGGATGATCTGAAAAATCCCTTCCATATTCGAGAATACAGGTAGAATATTGAAGCTTTCGAAAATCCTTTGGCTAAAACAAAAACTTTCGCGTACCCAAAACGATATCCTCGGATACAGAAGAGGATATTCTCTAAAACTCTTTTTTCTTAAACGTTTTTTTGATTTGAACGCAGAATGATAGTAAAAGGAAGATTCAGAAATTCCGTTTTCCTTTGGCAGCACGCTTACTCTCCTAATTATAACTGCTCTAACAAACTAATTACAATTCTTCGCTATATTGCATTTTGTCTTAATCCATTTCCTCTTCGACAATATAATACAATTTGCTGAAATTCAACAACTGACATCTGTGTCCTCAAATACCCTTGAGTTGGCCTTATCACGAAAACGGTAGTAAGAGCTTGCGCATTGTCAAAGACTAAAACTCTTTTTGCCCTACGAATAAAAGGAAGATTCTGTATCTTACGAAGATACTCATTACCGGAGTTGCCTTTGGCATCTGAAAACTGGGTACGTCATACTCTACGTTAATTTCGTTTATACTTCATACTCAGTTACTATGTTAGACTCAGTCAGGAGCATCTATTGTTTCAATTGAAAAAAAGATAAACGAGCGATTTAAGCATTCTTTAATTTTTTAGTTTCATCAATTCGAAACAGAAAAACCGTCAAAACCGACATGCGTACATCGTACTAATGTTTTAGTAAATTTTCGTGTACTATCCATGCCATTGACAGCATCACCAATAACACTAATTGAAATTAGAACATTACATTATCGTCGAACAATTACACGCTGTATCCTTATTTTCTCTGCTCAAGTTTTTGTATGATAAGGTTTCTGTAAAAAAATGTAAGGTTTCGATGACCTATTCATTATTGTGTTACTGACAATATACATAAATAGACTTCTACCTACAAGTTTCTTATTTGGTTTTGGCGTAAAATTGGTAAACAAATATTGGAAACATATATAGGATAGTTCGAAATTTTCTACAATTAGTTCATAATTACTTCCACTTTCTCGTTGAAACAGAGTAAATTAGCTTACTCTCGTCGTTTTAGCTGTACTGACTATAATTATCCTAAATGGATAATTATAATCAATAGATAAGTGCTCGCAGCAGATTGAATGATATCCATTTAATATTAATGAGTTTTTGGATAATTTTACGCCATCAGGTCTATCTACCGGTGAAATACTGCTTTTCACGGGTGAAAATTAATCAAACTTTAATCGAAATACAACAAAAGTTTTGACACTGACCATAATTGTCTTCTGTCTCTTTTGAGAAGCTTGTGCTTTTGTCAGATCGTCTAGGTAATTGTTTTAACTAATAGCAATAAATTTTGCTATTTGTTTATAGATAAGAAAATTTGTACCTCTCATAATATAGAACTGCGAATACAATTCATTGAGAAGCGTCGCGTTAAAGAACATCTGTCCTTAACGCATTACTAACCTGATAAGTCACGCGTTACCACAAAAATAAATTGAAAGAATGTCGACTGTTCATTACAGTGTGCATTTCTGATCAATAAACAAGAATGTTAGCGTAGATAGTTGGTTCAATGAAGTAAAATCATAAAAATCTTTTTCTGTTAAACTTTTCGTGTTAAATAAAACTAATAAGTTCGTTGATTAGAATTTTTACTTTGTTTTAAAACAGACAGCTCACATATAACGCGTTTTTCACGATAAAAATCTTATGAGTTTGCTAATGACTATAGACATTCAAAATTTGCACTTAATATGTCGCTATACCGTTTAATTATTATTTTTTAACGTGAATTATTTGTTCAACCAAATTTTGGCTAAAAGAACTGCTTAACCTTTTCTTGCCCTATTTTATAAAAATTGAAGTCACATGAACTATTAGACATTTAGAAATAGATTTTATATCAACTTAAAGCCTATCTATTGTGGACTTCAAATCAACAATCTGAATGTCATCTTTATCATAAAATGTTTTTTTTTGTCGTTCACATGGATTTGGTTCAAACTTTTCCTGTGTATATGTATTAGAGGCCATAAGATTGATGCTATTGAGCGAGTTGTTCTTCAGAACCGTCAGGTTTAGCCAAAAGCAAGAAAGGGTTAAATGAATAAAGAAATCAATTTGCTTTGTACAGGAAAATGTAATTAATCGTGACAAACTAGCTGAATTTAGAATAGCTAATTTAGTGCAAATTCTTTACTATCAAATGAAGTCTTATAAATTAACTAAATTCAACCAGTCTTTTACTAACTGTCACTTTGATTGAAGAGTACAATATTATATAAACAATAAAAAAAAAATTTTTTGTGTATAAAAACATTATAAAAATAGACAAAAAACAACAACAACAATTATTATTGATATATGCATAGCAAATAAATAGTACCTGAAAATAATAGCACACATTAATTAACTGTATCTACTTGAAGAAGAAAGAGAAGAAAGAAAGGAAAACAAGATCAAGATGTGTTCAGATTGGAATAGATGAGATTTTTAAACTAACAAAAAAACTTATGCAATTGTAAAGCTTTTGACTTTTTTTCTTAAAATATTCGAGAATGGTAGACATTTCATTGAGTAGTGGAAGTGTATGTAAGCATATCTTATGTACAAAGATTATATTTATTGACAATGTCTATTTATAGCAGGATTTTGTTTTATTACTGTTAAGTATTAACAATATATTTGTATCGAAACGATTGAGAAATCATTTCGTTGCCATAAGAGACGAGCAATTAATTGTCCATTTCTTCATCCAGACGTGCGGATCGTTGATAGGTTTTATTTAAATAGTGTTTTGCTAAAATTAGATAAAAAAATTAAGGAGCTATATGACGTTTAGAAAAACAGAGATCACAAGTTTAACGTGAACAAATCATTTTCATTGTTATAGAGGAAAACTAAAAATGATAAGCGAGTGTACTTAAAAGCAAAATTAAAAAAATGTATGTCCCGATTCTACAGAACTAAAAGAAAAATTTAAACGGTTCCTATCGTTTTTCTAAGCATTAACTGCATCAATGGCAGGAGCTTACCATTTTAATCGATGTTTCATGCATAGATAATATCTGTTTTAGGAAAAACACAGTGTATACAAATACAGCAACTATTAACAGTGTGATGAGTGATTGATAAGAATAAGCTAAATAAAATACATCTTACCAGCTACTTGACGACTTTTTTGTTTAGCTTCAAACGCGATCGCTGATTGTAAATCTAATGCCTATAGATAAAATAAATTCTTGTTTTTATTACCTATGTCGTTAAAATTGCTCCATTCTGGACGATCACTTGCGATTAGTAATAAAATCGTCAAGTAATCGCAATTCTGACTATAATCGTGCATAAATTGCGATATATCGGCGACAACCGGTGATTAATCGGCTTGCATGAAAAATCGTCAGTTGTTAAAAATCACCGATATATCACCATTCTTAAAAACATCGCCAATTAATTATGATTAATTAGCGATCCTGGTGATTTTTCTGTTTTTTTAATAATGGTCAACTAATTGCGATTAATTGTTGATTTTAAGCCATTAAATGATTTTTTGGTATTCACCGTTTTATTCTGCCGTAGAGTAAATATAGAAGAAACACGATTTCAACAAGAAATATTGTTCTTTTCAGATTATCTTTTTAGTTTAGCTTAAAACCGAGTTGCCAAGAGTGTTCTCTGCAGTTTCCTCAAAGCTGACTCATTGGTTCGATTTGAGTCAGCTTTGAACCGAGGAGACTGTCAAACTAAAAATTATTAATTATTTTTTTTAATTAATCCGATTAATTACTGTTAATCGGGAAAATCGCCGATTTATTGCCGCTTAAGCGCACGATAAATCGGCTGATTAATCGCTAAAAGATCGTCGATTTATTGCCGATTTTGACTTCATGGGTAGTTTTCATATTAGTGAAAGTACATACCTTTTCACGATTTTTTACTTCTTCATGTCGTTTATGCAGAAATGATTGTGTTCCATGAGTATCACTAAACTCATTGTCACTCATTTCTTGAACACTAGAAATATAATATTTTTAAAACAACAAACTAAAAAAGTAATCGTAAGATATGAAAAAGAGATATGAATGTTTATTTGCATCAAGACTCATCGTTTCCATATAGATATCATTTTATTGAATTTTTATCTTGTTGTATGACACAGACGAGAAGATATCAAGTTTAACTTAATAGATTCGAAAGTTAATTATTTCATTTCATGATTGAGGTTAATACCTTTGTTTCGATAACATTTTTCGTAGTTCCTCTTTTTTCTTTAATCGTGCTAATTTTTCAGCGGTTGTCAATCGCTCTTCATTTTCAAAATCAACCAGTCGCTCTGGAATGTCCACTTTGTCTGGTTTAAAGATCTTTAAGAATAACAGCATCACAAATAACTATAGAACCATTAAGACTCAACTTGCAGTAATAGTTTTCGCAGTACCTCTTTGTCAATTGTATCACTGTCAAAATCTTGTTTAACATTGTATCGCTGTTGTTGTGTTGATTTCAAAATTCCCTTAATTATCGTGAGAAAAAATTTTACGTGCTCAAAAACTACTGATAACAATCTTGTATTTCATTAACTTACATTTGGCATAAATCCATTTGTGTATGAAGTCGTATTAATACTGAAATAGTGTTAAAAATAAATATAAAAAAGGTAAATATTCTATGATAGAAGACTACACACTTATTGTTGTTATCTAATCGTCGAGCTGGCTTAACAGTAGCTATTCGGGAGCGATTATCTTTCTTATTGTTGTTATTGTTATTTTGATTTTTAAACGGTGACCATCTATCTTGCTTTGAAAATCGTATAGCATTTGCGTCCTATAATTCACACAACAAATCATAGAAAAATGCTACGAAATTTCTTATTTTTGAGAAACTTGCCTCTCTATTATTGAGATATAAATCTTCACCAAAACGGGGTGCTGATGTTGAACGTATCTCTTAAAAAAAGTGAAAAAAGTTTTGGATAACTACATAATAAACGAAAAAACACCTACTTGGACTTGGAGTTCTTGTTCGGTTTTGATACTCGTTATAGTTATTATAACCATTTGATTTGTACAATCGTGAATTATCTTTAGAGTAGTATAGAATATCTCTCAAAATATTATAATCTTTTAAATATTTCTTTAAAAATACATACTACTGTTAATATCATTTGATAGATATGATCGTTGACGCATATTTGTTGATATTTGCATACTTGTTGGACGTGGTTGTGAGCGATGGCTAAATCTTAATCGATAATCATCCTTAAATAAAACATTGTTACATAAAAAGGAGAAGCATAGTTCTTATACGACAATAAACTCAAATATGTTCAATTTATCAAACTAAAATTACTTTGCTCGTCATATTAGGTAAATTTCTCGCTTGTAATGTATCCAAATCTGTCTCCGTATAGGAACGTGGAGACGAATGATAATGATGATATTCTAATATAAATGAAAAGAAGATGGATATAACAATGTGAAAGAATGACTGGTACTGCTGATATTTACCATCATCAATATTGAACTGTGGAATTGTGTTTACATACGACAGAATATATTTTTCCAATGAACGTAAACTACTCACAAGTTCTGTTAGTTGCTTTAATATAAACATAAAAAATGATTATCAAAAAATTGGTTTTCAGTGTATATTTTTACCTGACTAACATGTGCTACATAACCATCGGCTGATATTGATTGATCACGTAATATTGGTAATAAATTTTCAACACGATTTTGTTCATTTATTGAGTAAATTTGGTAATTCCATTGTAATAATGAACAATATTCATTTAACAACGACTAAAACAGCAGAATAATATCATGAGAATAATATATTGATTTATTATGTTTAAAATAGCTTGTTCTAACCTGATGTTGAAGTAAAGATGTTAATTCATCTTCTAATTGTAGACAAATATTGTCTTCGTTTAATACATGGTCAATATCATTCTTGGGGAAAAAAGGAAAATGAAATAGAGAAATATTTTAATATATTTCGTCTTACCAGCACAGATAGATGAGTATCATCGAGACTACCACGAGAAACTAATGAGTGATATAATGTTTTTAACATTGAACGTCGTTGAAGAAACGATGGTGTTCTGGAATTCTATAGCAAAAAAGGAGAAAAACATGATAAGTAAAACATGTTACTTTTGACGAGTTTTCTTTTACAAACCTCACTTTTTATCGTTGGCCATTCATCAGTGTTATTTAACATAGGAATTTCTTTTAATAACCGTTGTAAATCATTAATCTGGTAAATATTGAATGTTAAACTATATGGATTTAGGAGGAAGCCTTACTTGTGATCAAAAGCTTTTCTATACAAAATAGATTCTTAGGCAATCTGATAACTATTTTAGTGACCTGGCTCTATCTGGGTGAGAAAGCAAAATCCAAGTCTCTAGAGATATCTCAAAAAGTTTCGACTCAACAGATTCTGGTCCATCCACTTTATAGAGCTCATCAGCTGTTTACGTAAAAATATTCTCATAACTATCAGACAAATATTAAGAAAATTATAAAACTTCGAAAATCTGAATTTTTTGGCCTTTCTTTCACTAGAGTTTTCATTCACATTCAGGTTTTAGTCACTAAAACGATTATATGATTCGTGATCAGTATAGAGAATTATCTTTAAAAATCTATGTTTTATCAGAAAAGCTTTTGATCATTGAGGTTTCCTGATTAATGTACGATGATATATAGTGATAAACGTACTTTTCTTTCCCAATTCGGTTTCAAACGGTCTAATTGATCCGATACTTTACGACAGTGTGTAAAATATACAGAATGAGACGTTTTATTTGCTAAACTAGAATAGAATAAATTCAATAAGTGAATTTGTAAAAAAGTAAAGGTTTTTAAGTCGAAGAAAAGCCCTAGTTAATCAAAGTCAATTACTTACCTATTTCGTCCGCTTCCGTTATATAATTGTTCGACAATTCTTTCATAAAATGATTGTAAGTGATAAAGTAATTCTATATGACGTTTGACGACACGAGCAGATCTCGACAAGGTATCGTGCTAAGATTAAAATAATATTTTTAAATTATTAGAGGACACAGTTCTCGAAAATATTCATATTACATGATTATAATCAAATCTTTGACTTCCAACACTTAAACTTGATGTCGCTGATACTGGACGGTTGGAAGCTGTAATAAAGATAAAATGAAAATTATGTGACTAGATACCTGTGATGTCATTTGAGAAGTAATTCAACTACAGTAGCTCTTGAGTAACTAATATTTTTGTGAAACACCTCCAAGGTTGTGAAGCAGAGGAGTTGAAGTAATATACAACCTCAGCGATTTTGCTGATTTGTTTATTCCTCCTCCTAGTAATAATCTTAAGGGCTCTCATTGTAATGCTCTTACAGAGCTATCATGATTAACAGGTTCTTTGAATTTTTATGATGATTTTGTATATTTATTTTTCTTGTTTGATTTATCCAGTGTACTATTACGATTTCTTTTAATCTTATTTACTAATTTCTTTCTTTTAGTTTTCTGATTCTTAGAAAGTTAGTTAATTTCAACAGAAATAATATAATTAAATCAGAGTTTTTATGCTTTTGAAAACTTAAACAACAATAACCGCTTTTTTCGATCATTAGTCTTCATATACCTATTCGGGACGCGTGTTTGAAAATTAATCAAACAGAGCGAAAACAATGTTAGGCCTTGTTTTTCAAGTATCACTTTAGCATAAAATAGGAGGAGTTTTACATTTATGCACCTCTGAAGATTTTTTCTATAAATTTATCGGAAAAATCATAACATTTTTTTAATAAAAAATATTGTACTTTTTTCCAACACAGTACTGATTATCACTTAAATAATCAGCATTTTTGTCATCGACATTTATACTCTGTTGTAGCAGTATAAATAATGAAATAAATAGATTTGATAATTGTTAACACTTACGCATTAGACGATCGTTGTAACGACTAGATGAATAAGATGAATTAAGCTGAACGAAACAAAGAGAATATCATGTAAACTACGTAACATATTTATAAATACATTTTCTACAGTAGCAAGTATCAACTATTCGATGATAGACACTTAGTTCCGTGTCATGTATTGGTGAAATAGAATTGAATACGCGAGAATTGGACAAAATACTATAAACAATTAATTGGAGACTAATATTTGTATATATTTTGTCAAACTAGGCATGATGATCTATTTTTCAATCAATGATTAGATGCGTGTGTGTATGTATTCACATCTATAAAATGATCATAAAAAAAATTAACGATATGAATTCTATGTGGGTATAATGGACATAATTCTCTTATACTACAGAGGAAAAGAAAACTCGATCTTTTTTCCTATTATAGTTCACTACGTTAGAATCAACATTGACTAAAGATGATTTTAATAAAAGAGATAAAACAAGGTCATTCATTTTAACCCTTTATCGATATTGATGTTCAATGTTACTCTCTAAGATAGTTTGTGGACAAAAAGATTATAGTGATGGATGTATCTATTTCTGTATCGAACAAGGAAGGAAAGTGATATATTTGGCGTATATAACAGACAAAAGTTTTACATACATTCGCTTTTGGACCTGTTACTTGATAACCATTGGGAAGTGGAGGTCGAGATGGTCCACGTTGTTCTCTAAATACAAAATTCGTCAAGAGTCATCTATCAAAGACTGAGTAGTTGTAGAGGGCATTTAAAGAGAAACACGAAAATTGAAACTGATTCAAAAACAATCGAGACGACAAATATTAGAAAGAACATTGTCAAACTAAAGTATCAAGTTTTTCTTTGAGAGTTTTTAAGATTGTATTCCAAACTAGACATATTTTGAAAACTGCATGAAGCAGATCTATTTAACACTGAAAAATACATAATGGATGACTGAAAGTCTTCGATCATGACTAAACAGCATGAATACTTGCTGTCGTATAGCGAGAGCAATACTAATCGAAATAGGAAAAGGGAAAGTTTTTTATAAATATCAATTGTCGTGCAGTTAGATTAGAATTACCAAACGATCTTTCTCAGCTTATGTCAGAAAGAATTTGTACAGTCAAGTCAAATTACTTTCGTTCATACTTGCAAAAAAAAAAAAACTCAGTCATAAGTAGAACGATCAACGCCTATCTGCCTAGAATTTCATTCAAAGCAGTGTCATAAATAAAATATACGAGATGAGTTCAAGTACAAAAGTACACATCTCTTTCTTGAATAAAATTATATACATTCGTGTACAAGAGGTGTAACAATAAAAAATTCAACTCCTTCTTTTACCTCTGAAGCATTCTATTTTGCCACGCTAATAATTCATTTTCGGTGCGTGTTCGTACATAACCTGAATTGTTTAAGTTATAAGTAACATCATTAAAATTTGCCTTCTGTGAAAAATCTCCAATTGATTTCGACCGACCACGTAGAATAGATCTTGTTGACGATTGTCTCGATCGCGTATTCATATAATCGAAGGCACTATTGTCTATAACACGTGATTTCTGCTGTCTCGTATCTAAAACGGATGCAGCTGGTCCCAATACTAGACGATCAACAACGGCAAAATCGGATGATGGCCATCTTGCTTCTCGATCTTCTTCAACGACTTTTGATTCATTATTATTATTATTACTATTTGGTCTAAAACCAAATCCATAATTATCGTCACTCGTCTCGTCAACGTTTACTCGATTATTATTTTTATTTTTATTTTTAATTGTTGGTGTACGTAATCTAAATCGTCTATGATGTGAGTTATTTCTACCGAATGAATCGACTAATCGTTCATTATTGAATAGATTCATATCATTATCACCACCTCCTTGATAATTCGATTCAGTTGTTTTTCGGTTTTGTCGCTTCGATAATGATTGACGCGTATATGAATTATTATCATTGTAACGTTGAAATCTTAACAACTGTTGTTCATCATCACCACTAATATCATCATCAATAAGAACGTTATTGTTAGAAGTTTTGTTCGTTTTTGATCTTGATGTTGTTATATTTGTATTACGATCATCAAGTAATTGCGAACTTTGTGTACGTCGTAGTGGATCATAGGAATTAACTGAAGACAGAAACAACGAATCATTCTCAACATGTTGAGGATAAAAACCAAATGAATTAGTGTCACTATTATTATTTGTTGTCCAATTGCTTTGATACGTTCCAGCTGATTTTGGCCGACTCTGATGTTGAAAAGGACGTTGAAATGCTGATTGATGATCATAATCCGTGTTTTCATCCATCGAACGTAATATTTGTCGATGTTGTGGCCGATATGACCTAGATATAAATATGAAAGATTAATATTGGTGGTGCCAGAGATATAGAAAATTGTATTCAAAAGTAGAACATCATCTCATTCTGGGCGATAACAAATAATAAATCAATCACAGATAAGTAGTGGAAACGGATTGAAAATTTAGATTATGTATCAGTTCAATTCTAACGCAAATTCTAGCGAAGAGTAAAGGAAATAGTGTTGCTTAGTTAGTGAGCTGTGAAAAGTATGCATAAGCCTTCCATAGGTAAAGTTTTATGCGTGAAACTAATTAACATATTGACATCCGTTGACATATAAAATAATCATTTTTGTTGCACGTCAGTGATATTCACCCGTGAAATTGTTTGACTGTAACGACTGTAAATACTTATGTATATAAATGTACTGTGTTCCGAGCAAAAAGGTTACCTTTATATTAAACCGAAATGGTGGAGAGAGAAACGACAGGTTCTACTTTCTGTGTTTCTTGTTTTCTACAATGATTAGTATTGGCATATAAATGATTCTCTCTTTTTTTCTGAATCTCTAGTTTATTTATCTGTATGGTTCAGCATTATTGTGTCACTTTCTATATGACGTATACATTATAGTACAAGATATTGCACTTACATAGAGAAAATATTCTTACTTTAGAAATTTACGTGCAGATAATTCACAGACTGTTAAATCTTAAGCCCCTCATCCGAGGGAAGCTTACGAGTTTTTCTTGGTTACTTTACACTTTCCTCCGTTATTTGTCTTATACACTTGAAAATTTCTTCGTGGTGACACGAGACTGTAGTGAATCTTCCATTGAGGCTCTCTCTACACAGTAAGTATACCCTTCTTTGTCGGTGCAGTATCATGGAATCGTAAACGTTAAGTCGTAAAAATACATTTTCTTCTTGCGCAGGCAATCAAAATAGGATAGGCAAGCTTTATGATAAGAAATGTTATTCTCCGTCGAGTGATACTTCGCTCATGTTTAGTAAAACACTTTTTAAAAAGACAATCACATTTAAACATAAGTTGTTACACAATTTTAGTGTCCAAACAAAAATAGGTGATTTATACTAAAATGATGTGAAGACAAGTTAGTCAACAGGTATATTCACAGGTTTATAATCCAAATTGCTTGACTTCAAATTGATGTTTCAGAGTTCATAGATGCATAGGTAGATAGCAGGACCAGAATATGGTCCAGTGAAACAGAGATCAATACTAAATGGGATGTGGTAGCGGATATCCGCCATCTCCTGTTTTTGTGATCTACCCATGTTTACTAGTAAAATTTATGTACAGTATAAACATTAAGGTGTGAAATTTTATTTATGGGTCATACAATGATCTTTAATAGAAAAAAAAAAAATCAGATTAAGGATCTTGTCCAGACAAATAAACTTCAGTTTTAGCTGACTACGTATTCGAATCAAAATTACCGTCTACTTTAACTTTTTGGTGCCGGGCGTGGTATATAAAGGGTGTTCTAGAAGTTCTGAAGTAATTTTAGAATGACGCATTTTAAAATTACTTCAGAACTTCTAGAACACCCTTTATACCATTTTGACTATTTCTCAAAATCCGGGATGTTATATATAACAAATCAATCAAAAGTAAGTGGAAATAGCCTACACAAAACAGGAAGACAGATTATGAAACCTGCCTGTGTTCAAAAGTTATAATGAAAATAAGGGTGCAGTTGATTTAATTGATATGCAGTCAAGTTTCACCGAATGCATTAGAAAAACAACCAAATGGTACAAGAAGCTCTTTTTCCATATCGTTGATATGGCTTCAATCAATGCTTTCAATTCAATTCAATGCAAAACTCAAAGAATATACAGTTAAAAGAGTTTCGTCTTCAACTGATAAAAAATATTATATCAAAGTATGGCAATCAAAAACGAATCTCTGTTGGGAGAATATCAACTGATTCACCACTACGTTTATCTGCTAGACATTTTTCATCACTTGTACCCTCAACTGCTTTAAAAAAAGCTGCCTAAAGGAACTGTCATGTGTGCTCTCATACAGCAAGACATGAAAAATTAGCCAAATATATAAGATATCAGTGTGAGGAATGCGACGTTGGGTTATGCATAATTGATTGTTTCAAAGCTTATCATACCCTAAAACACTTTTGATAATGATTTTTGATTCACTAAACATCTATTTTACTTATACAAAAAAAATTAATTTTTTCAAAAAGAAAACGGTACCAAAGGGTTAACCTCTTATCAATACAGGTATGTCATTGAGCAACTGCTTAACAATTCAACAATACGTTCAATTTACAATAACTATTTCCTGTTTTTTATTAACTAAATTGGTAATTGAACTCACTCACTTAAACGTAGTTCTATGTATTTCTAAATTATTTTTATTTTACAATTCTGTCTAGCATAAAACAACATTTTTTTGTATAGATTTGGGGAAAAAAGAACGGAAAAAAAAGGAGAAACTGAGGTCTGATTCGATTACAAATTTACCACAAAGAAAGAATCGCATCCTGTTGCATAACGTGAGTATATGAGTGTGAGTCATACATTCTCATCTATCGATCATTTACATTTAATAAAAAAAAAATTCACCTTCACACACACACAATCCAAACTTTAATAATTATTTAAATTTATTCGCTCGTTTGGTTTTTATTTCTCTTTAGAATACTACTACTCAATAAAAAAAAAAAAAGAATACATAATAAACTTGTCAAGGAAAATGATCATAGGAGCAGGCAGAAGAAAAGAAAGAAATCATCATTTCATATATTTTGTTCCAATTCTTTTCCTTTTTTTTGTAGAGTGTGAAAAACATGGATAATGCATATGTTGTTGTTGTTGTGTATGTGTGTGTGTGTGTGTGTGTGTACGGCGAGCGGAGGCACTACTAAAAAATTGAGCTATGAAACTGAAACATCTATACCTTTACCTTTACTTATATATTACAGAACAAGAAAAAAAAGAAAGTATAATACAACATATAATAGAAGAAGAGAAGTTTACAATTAGAAATTGCATAAAATAATAGGTATTACATTCGGCCTCGTTAGTGATTTTTTTTTGTTTTCATTCAGTTGATTGAATATAAAAGGGGAGGTTACAGCGTTGCTCAAGTTGGCTACCACCTATTAATCAAAGTTGCACCGTCATTTCTCTTAATCTTTTTTTATTATAATTTTGTTTTAGAAAAATCTAATTTAGAGTGAACAAAGTCAATTTCTATGAATTAATTATAAACTTGCATATTTGAAAATACAAATAGAAATTTTAAAAACATTTATTAAAATTTAAACTAATCCTTCCTGTGTAACATCACATCAACTTTTATGTATTCACTCTTTTTTCCTTTTTGAACATATGTCAGTCTACTACTGTGTGACATATCAAAATCAAACTACATCTCTCCTTGGATTTATCACAATCAAAAATCAATTATATCATCATATTTATTACATAAATCATCATATTTATTGCATAAATCATCATATTTATTGCATAAAGAAAAAAAGAAGCACAAAAGCCAGAATTATGTATTTTTCAAAATATTCAAGAGTTTATTATCAGCGGTCATTGCGCAAGAATAGAAGAGTAGCGTATATATTGTCTACCTTTCTCTACTCAGACAGTTGTATGAATTCTTTTGTTTGTAAAAATTAAACTAATTATAACATAAAAAAAAAAGAAGAGAAAAAGTCTACTAAACATTAGAGAATAAAGAAATAAGACAAACAATTGATCAATAATAGCAGAGAATTCAATACGTGTAACAACAATATAAGCAAATGCACAATATACTGAATTAATTGTAGTCAATGCTAAACTTTTGACAAGTTAACTTTGATGAAAGTTTCACAAAGAATTTATTTTTAATTATTCTTTTAAAGATGAAAAATTTTGATTGAATTCTTCATTTCACTAGTTTGTTCCATTAAAGAAATAATTAGCTTAAGTTATCTTAGATTAGTGTTTCTTTTTATGTATAAAAAAAAATTAGTTATTTCGATATAGATCATTATATAACACCAGCTAATCGTTAGATTTATAGTATGTTTACTTTAGAACAGGTGATGAAAGACGTTAAAAATGTTTCAATTAATCCTAACAAGGTCACTTCATATAGGTCATCACTGAGTCATGCTTGCGGAATTAACACTCTTAGTCTCATTGTAGACAAAAAAATTTGAATTTAACTTCCTACTAAGTTAATACAATTTGCCTATACAAGAAAAAAACGTATTACTATCCTACATTCATTTTTTCTCTCATTTTTTGAATAAATTTGAAACAAACAGTGATCTAGACCGATGATTTATATAGTAAAAAGTTGTAGCTATCTGTCTACGAAGTCTGACATGGAATACTCCGCCAAACAATATTCCTAGTGTAGAATGAATAACATATTAGATGTGAAAAAACACTCGTTGTTGATACTAAATAATCTATGCTAACAGTAGCATCCATCCAAAATAAGAAATATAGATGGTAATATTTTTGTGCTTACTATCTGTTTGATAATATTTTTAAAAGAAAATAGTATTTGGAAAAAAATATTCAATTAATTACTTATTGTCTGAAAAATCAGTCAAAAAAAAGAAAATAAAAGCTTGTTTTTCTTTCTTTCTTTGAGCGACACTCATTTATAAGTATCTATCGTGATAACAGAACAGAATATTATGCTTCTATTCATTGTTATATTTTGACAACTGTCCATATATATATATATATGTATGTTCATCAAAATACACATTGCGCGATTATATTCAGATGTGTTACTTTTTTTGTCTGAAAAAACAACAGGAATAATTTATAATGTATATAAGAGAACAGAGAGAGAGAGAAACGTGCCTTGATATTCGATCAAACAATAGCTATGTGATATTTGATCTTTTAAAAATATACCTGATTTTATCCTCGATTCTATTTATTGTCTGTTAAAAGTTAAATAAATACATCTTGCGAAAATATAGAAAACATGCGTTTCTTGTTTAAATAAAATCTAGACACAAGTTAGTAATGTGCCAGTCAATCATTTAAAAACAATGAACTTGACAGAGTATTTCTGAGATATTACGATATCACTCATGTTCAGATTATTCATCCATCTACCAAGGAAAACAATATATTATTCTGTCACTGGAACAAGTTTACTAACGAAAGTCTTGAAGAGATTCCTCTTTATACATATTACATCTTAATATTTACTTTTAAAATCAACAAAAAAAAACGTAGTTTTCTTATTTTCGTTGACTCCCAGATATTCTGATCGAAAACCTACTACAGAGCTCATCTGACTTCTTAGTCTCTGTACATATATTGTAAAAATCTCCTTAAGTTAGGAGTAAACTTTCCAGAAGGAAAATCTGATTTCGATTGTATAAACGATCATACAGACAAATTTAAATCATTCAGTTCTCTGCTGAAGTTCACTTTCTCATACAATCACGAGTATAAAAAGTGAGCGAAGGCTTCCTACCCAACAGTTAACAATTTTTCTTTTTTTTAGTCACTAAAAATCTTTGAGAAAATCTTTTTTACTATCTCTGCGAAAATAGTGTTCATCCCTCCTTCTAACGTTTAAACTCTTTCTACGCTTCTGATGACAATAAATAGTCAAATAATTGAGAAAAACTTATAGAAACTGTAGCAGGAAAAATGAAAACGAAAAATAAAGAATCCATTGGCTGTTATTTGATTTTCAGTCTTACTTTGAAAATAATGCCTGCGTCACACGTTTCATTATTTATGATTGATCTCTTCTCTTATATCTCTTTGCTCTTCCTTGCCTCTTTGTTTTTTTTAAAACAAAAAGTGAAACTAAACTGTGAATCTTTTTCTTTTTTGTCGGTTATTTATTCTACTTTTGATATTTCGTTATCTCTCTCTCTCTCTTTCTCTAGTGTTAATCTTTTAAACATCTTACAATTTACCGTTTCTTTAACCTATTATGAAATAGGTTATAAGAAAATTAACCTCAATGCACAACATTTGTCCGCAACAATATCAAATTTCGTTATCTCTTATCAAGAATAAATTGTATTATACTTCCACTATGCTAAACGGAGAAAGAGAAAGTCACACAATAAGATCTACTGGCACAAAATAGAATCAACTGAATATTCCAATAACATTTTTATACGTTGCTTACTAATTCGTCATCTTTTATACTTACATTGAATATTTAACTAAAACTTTTCATGTCATATGTGAGTATATAGTGTTCGATGTTCCTTCATATTTATTATGACGATCTTTCTGCATTTTTTTTTTTAAATTTTAAAATAAATTATTGAATGTGTTTCGTTCAGTCGATGCACGCGTGCAACATATCTACGAAGAATGGACAAAATTTGGTTGAAAAAGAAAGAAAGAAAGAATATTCGAAGGTATAGCGGTTGAAAATAAAAATTTAATATTCGATATAGTGGAGTATACACTGTCTATAACTAAAAACAAAGAAATATATACGGTGAAGTTCAATCGTTCAAAATGAGCTCATATACGTAATTGTATGATAAAAGAGATGTATATAAAAAAAGTCTATTTTTTCCAGTGAGTAATACATTTTAAGCGAAATAGTAAAAATACTCCCTCTATAGAATGTGGAGACAAAGAGTTAGTCGTCTTTGAGTAGTTAATGTATTTAACAAAGCACTGGTTGACAAACTCTCTTATAGATCTCTATATGATTCAGGATATTAACAATTTTGAAGGATGCAATATAAATCAACACCAAATGGTTGTAAGAGAGCATGCAATCAAATAAAAATTTGTTTGCACATCGCAATAAAAAGTTAGAGATTTACAACGGAATTTGTCAAAGAATAAATCCTTTGAGCATGTTATGCCTTGTTTCAGCATCATCATCAAACGTTTCATCAATATTCCGGTAAAACTATCGAGTTTATTCTATCTTTTGCCTTTTTTTCTGTTGAAAAGTTATCGTTGAGTATGGACCTTTCTTTTTCTACTGTAAAATTAAACTTCATATTTATAATTAATAACATTAACGACATGAGTATAGTCTTTAAATAGTACAATTAATAATATGTCTGCAAACGAAGAATTGTCTGTTTATAAGAAAGCGTGTGCAGTTTACAATCAAATTGGAATGTAATAACCATCGTTTTCAAGTACACTTGTCTCATTTAATCTCTTCAAGTATACATGGATAGTCTTCTTATCAGAAAAGATGTGAATACTTATAACAAAAACGTATATATAATAACGGTTAGGATAAGTGGAATAGGATCGACATTTTTTTAGTATTTTGCTCGTAACTTTGATCAAATGTTCGTACTAGATATTAGGATATGTGACATACATACTCAATTGTAAAGGGTAGAAGTGATCAAGAGTACAGAAATGTTAAAACATGATAAAATGAGTCATTCCGAGATACTTTTTTCAAAAATATTCCTCAATAATTCTATGAGATTCTTCTGAATGCAGGTATCTCATATAATTGACGATATTGGTGATCAGTTTTCTCTCACATTTTATATCGTGTAAAGCTGAAACTTGCAGCGTTACTAGCATAGACATCGAGTTATAGTTGTTTTCCATGTAAAGTGTGTTCGGTTGCTATTTAATAAAGAGGTGCAAAAAGGATAAAAAGATTAACTCTAATTGACAACATCCGTTGGTGATCTGTCAATATATATTTCATGAGACGGCGTGAGACAAGATTATTTTGGAAGAAAACATGATTTCTAGTTTTTTGGAAAAAAGTTAGCCATCAGAAAAAATCTTGTTACATCCAACTCTGGTCTAGAATATCCATCGTATGAACACAGTTTCGAAACACAAATTAATATATTCGGAGAAAAATTATCAACAATGTTCAAGATTAATGAGACTATTTTCGTTAAACAATGTAAGGCATTCGGATGAATATATGAAAAACCAACTTTACCGTTGTTGTAATGAATCGATTATTAGATGATTTTTGTGCAAAATAACATCACGCTTATTATCATCTGCCGTAGGTACTTCGGGTGATGCGGTACTGAAAAAATCAAAATCAGCAAAATATGTTTGGTTGTCCAGATCACACAACATACCTAATTAGAATGTCATTGACAATGGATGACGATAAACGCAGTGCGTTAATCCACTAAAAGAGTAAAAGAAAATCACCTTACCAATACAGGCGTCTTTACTCACTTGAGTCATTGCGCTTTTACAATCTGCTGCCAAATATAAGGGTTTAACTAACGGTTCTTCAGGATCATAGATCTAGAACAGAATTATCTATGGAACATACTAAGAATAACATCTCACGTAAATTACTTTAAATGCGTAGCCTTTGCTAGATATCGGTTCATTTTTACTGGTAATCGATATGCTCAAACTTTTCAGATCTATTATGTTTTCTAAATGTTCGTGACGAGAATCTAGCAATGAAGAGGAAAAAAATAACAAAATATTTTTATTCACATGCACAGTAACATCTTACGTATAACTCACCTGAATAAATAGTTAATAAATTATCTTGCAATATTAGCCAACGTTTTTTCCACGGTCTAAATCCTTTGGTATAACAGTGAAGTATACCATTTTTTTCCACAAGATTTTGCCTAAATGATATAAGAGAAAATAAAAAAAAAACTGATTTTTAAAAGAGTTTTACTTCTTGACTTTTAGAAATGTTATATCAGTTTAGTAGTCAGTATCTTACTAGCATTACCTACCCATTCTCCATCAAAATGAATTGAAAACAATTCCTCAAACCCATTTACAACGAACTTAAAGTTCACGATGTATTCAAGATCTATTCACATATCGTCAAGTTGTAATCTTATCCGAGTTAAATCAATCAAATCTATTTGTTATTTTTAACTTTCTTTCTCTATACGGGCCAGGAAAGAATGAGCTGCCATTTAAAGTAAGAAAATGAAGGACATTGGTACATTAAGGCTTGTGTCTACATTTAACGTATGAATGAGTTTAAAACTATTATTGGACATATACACTAAAACGAAAAGATAGATTGGAATGAAGCCAAAATTGAAAAGATAAGACAATTGAAACGAAATGTTACTAATGACTATGAATCAAATATTGAAATAATAAGAAATGACAGTATGTCGAGAAAAGGCAAATGTGCTTTCTATATATTCTGCTTTTTATGAGACGTGAAATATCAATCAACAGACTACAACTACCATCTCTCGTATGTATACGAGTGTTTTGCTCTGATAAACTACATAAATAAGTTAAAAAAATGTGTTCTACATCTTTCAAATCATCAGAATAAATTAAATTAAGATTAAGTATCATATTATTGTGCAATTATGAAACAACATTTTCAGATAGAAACAAACGTATCCACATGTAAAAGAAAAATGACGTTCAAATACTAGTACATATTACTAATAAAACTACTAAGCACAATTAGTTGTTGGGCATACTTTGATAATAATGATGGAACGAACATCGATAGAACTCAATAAAAAAAGACTTCGTAAAGATAAATGTATATATAACCTCTGACCGAGTTTGACCTATATTATAATCAGGTTTTCTCTTACCAGTCTCTGTGTTTATGTTCATGTCTATCTATATGACACCTAAAGTCGATAAACTCAATTTGTCTAAATGCTGTTCAATATGTCTAATCAAAAAAAGAAAATTCTTGAGAAGTTTTTTTCTCCTTTTCAATTTTCGTTTATCTTACGTTGGTTTTTTTATCTATCTGCTTGTTTTCTTCACCTATAAACATATTTACTATCAGTTTCTTGTGCCTAAATTATTACATATTATCAAGATACTTAATAAAGAGGCAAGTCAAAACATACATCATCACATGCTCTTCTGCATCTATATCTTTTTAACAAAATTCATACAAAACATCATCACAGCATCTATGTTTGTGTGTAAGTCTCTATGTATGTTTAAGTATTCACACATTTAATTTACCTTTTCATCATAATCATTGTTGATAACATGAAAACAACCAAAACTAGAGAAAAAACATGGGTATCATATTTTCAAATGTAATGTACAGCAAAACTTTATTGTCTTTCTCTTTTTTTTTAATTTATCGGTACATTACGTTTGTTTGGCTTAGTTACATATATTCACAGGGAAATTTCTGGTACCACCACATCGCACCAAGACGTAGAAAGTATTAGAGGTGCCAACGGTCTGAGACCGCTCTCTTCATGTATCGAAGTTGACCACGTATGGGAACTGTATGAGAGAGTCTCCTAATCCCAAATAAAGTAATGATCGTGTGTAACACATCCAATGTAACGCTAATTTTCAGTTTGGAACGATGTAGAAGTATCAAAATTTTCCCATTGGTAGCTCGCTCGGTATCATATTTGGCAAAAGAAATCAACCAAATGTCCTATATGTTGCTGTTGTATACACATCTTGTTCTCATTCTCAGGTATATACATATATATGTATATATGTAGTGAATCCCCATAACCACAAAAGGAAGAATAGAAAGAAAACTACCTTTTTTTTTTTTTTGTTGTTGTTGTTGTTGTTGTTGTTAATTCTGACTTTGGTGTTTGCCTCATTACGAAAAATGAATTTTTGTTCTTTTCATAGTAATACTTATACATTATGTTTCATATATATGCACCTTTTTTCATACATAAGCTGTAAATTCGTCAAAATTGGACACCTAGAAACTAAACATGAGTTCTCGAAAAAAATAAAATCATGTGTAAAGGAAGATTAGGTTAATGAATTTATTTAACTACAATTCTTTTATTCATGATCAGATAAAGTATAGAAAAATCATAAGTGTACAATTTTTTGAAACAAATTTTGTAAAAGGTTAAAATCGACATGGATAATTTTTATATTGAATTGTCCTAATTCTTTTTTTAAAAGCATAGTTCTATAGAGATTCGGCCACTTTATACACGACTTTTTGTTTTAAATTTGGATGATCGATGTCGTTCGAAAGAGCGTAAGCTTCGTCGAGAGTTTTAGCCTGCCTTTGATACGCACGTTAAGAATTTGACGACTTTTCGAACATTTTTCTTCAGAATATGTGTGAATTATAATCTAAGCAAAAAAAATATCGACTGACATATCTGACAAATGTTTCATAAAAAAAATCTCATCTTTAAGCTCCTCGGGCACTTTTCAAATAACATTCTTATCTTAAAAACTTCATTTTTTTGCATATTTATGTTCATTATCACTCTTTAAGTTTGATGTGAAACGTTTCTCGATTTAAGTTGTAGAAAAACGTTCGAAAAGCCGTTAAATTTTTAAAATATGTTTGAAAAGCTCGCTGAGGTCTTCTCGAAACGAAAAATTTCATATCTTCAAAATTCATACTGCAGAAAGATGAAAGTTGTTATTTGCAGAAAAAACACCTTCAACGTTGCTTATTTCTGGTGAATGCAATCCTTTTGAAAATTGTGAGAGCAAAGTGTTTTAGTAATTAATTAATTTTTAAAATCGTTTAAGTTTGAGTTTAAACTAGAATGCGATCCTGCAACGCACAGACTGAGGATACGATGCATAAGTTGGCCATGTAAACAAAAAGAAAGTTTTCTGATACAGAACATAAAAAATCGTTCATCATCGTATAACTCATATAAAAATATTTATTAAATGTACAAATTGTTGAATTATGCGTGATAAACAACTGTTAGTTTTTCCAATATATCAATCTAAGTTCTGTTGCGACAACATCATACCATCACAATTAGATCAATTAACATGAAGTTTTTTTGGAGATCTGTCAAATTTTTGGGACTTATAAGAAAAGAATGAACCATTTATGAACGTTCAAAATTGCTTATTCCTACATTCAATACACAATGCACAGACTCGAATCGGACGAAGAAATTAAATGTAAAGATGTCGAGACAAGGAAAGAAAAAATGTTCTAAGGTTGTTTAGTTTAATTAATAAAATTAAAACTGATTTGGTTAAATAAATGATAAGATTGTTAAAAGCATCACGAAATAGTTAATATTCTACATATTTAATCTTACTGATGCACAATCGATGTTGAATTTTTCTGTTCTATCGGTTTAAATGTTTGTTTTCTTGCGTTGCATAACTTAACTACGCCACATCTGCCGATATCGTCATTGTCATTCCATATGAATATTACTAATCACATCCTTTCTTATCTTTCTAACAAATTGCCATCTCTCATGTTTAATACCTTTCTGAATGTTCGTGATGTATCCATAGACACATAAATCGTATGACTCTTTTACACTTCTCAACCGGACTAATGTAAAACTTGACTATTTTTAAGTATTATAAGATTTTTATATTAAACAGAAACCGTTTTTCCTGTAATTTGGTACAAATAATTATAGTAGTATGGTTATTTCAATTATAAAAAAATTAAATTATACAAATTTTAATTTTTTAAAAAACTTATAAAAAATCGTTGACTTAGTAAATTGTTAAAATTAAATATTTCCTATAATCTACGAATGTTATATATAAAACTACGACTGGGGGATAATAGCCCATATTTATTAATTGCTTAAAATTCAAATTAAAATCGTCAAAAATTAAAAAATTAAAATAACTTTTAAGAAGTTTTAAAGTTTGAAACGCAACAAAGTGCATTCATAGGTAATCGACTATGACGCATCCAATGGACATATGTTCGGAGTTTTCAAAGGATCTCTAGAAAACCTTATCAGAAATATCGGACTTTGAAGTTAAAACAAAACATCTTAATGATAAATAGATTACCGCATATCTAATGGGCATATAATCAGTGCTTTAAGAGAATTTCCACTCAGTTTCCAGAGAATCTACAGAAAATTTTTTGTCGCCCAAGCACAAACAAAGTTTATAAACTTATCATACTCGATATCGTATATAAATCGTTTCTTTTAGTTTTAAACGTCAATAAATCCAAAAAGATTTTCTGCGAGTCTTTTAAAAATCTTTTAAACCTCAATTATCTAGTAGTTGAAAACATGGCAGTTGATTATCTATGACATTTTTTTGTTTTAGCTAAAGTCTCAATGTTTAGCAAAACAAATTTCTGTAGATCCTCTGGAAATCCTCATAAAGCACTGATTATATGCCCATTAGATATACGGTAATCTATTTATCATTAAGCTTTTTTCTTTCAACTTCAAATCCCGATATTTCTGACAAGGTTTTCTGGAGATCATTTGAAAAACCCGAACACATGTCCATTGGATGCGCCATAGTCGATTACCTGTGAATGCACTATGTTTGCAATTGGTATTTCGAGTTTTTGGGAAGCTACAAAGTGGCAATCCGAATCCGCAGGTATATGATTTCTAAAGAACCTTGCGAAATCGATGAGAAAAAAACGTTTTTAAAATTTCCCATCATATATTTGTAATATTATAGCACTCACGGTATAATATATCGAATTTTGAAAGAAATCCATCTTGTGCATCAAAAGTTATAAGCAGTCCGATTGAGAAATGTAAACGAGTCTTATAACCATATTCAAGCATAATGGTAATGTTATGAATTAATACCATCGCTGATAATCAAAGTATCAGTAGATGATAGACTAACGCAGTAAATGCAACACCGACTAACATTCTCAAAGCATCATTTTGAGTATAAACGATTTACACTAAAAGGTCTTTTAAGACATGCAATAGTGTTCGACTCCAGACATATGAAATAGATGTTTAACTTTATTTGCGGTGGTCCTGTTAGAGAAGGCCTAGTATAAAAGGATATAATTCAACATGTCACACTTGAAATGAGCGAGTAATCTGCCATATTCACTATTTGATACTGATAATACTTTTAAAAAAACGTGAGGCGAGAAACGAAACTTTTTTCAAAATTTGATATGATAATAAAAACGTTTACGAGTAATTTGATAGTGAATGGCGAATGGAGATGACGCCGAGAAGACTGAACTTTCCGGATTCTTTAAACAATTGAAGCAAATTAGTCTGAGAATGACAAGAGGCAATGCCGCAAAGATATTTTCTTATTTTAGAATATCTAGAAATTCGTGTACTAGAAATTTGTTCTCTAATTTCAACATGTACAATTATTTCTGTTCGAATAATAAATACATCTATCGTTCTCATTTCGCTGTTGCATACTGAGACCATTTATTTTCTCAAATTATATTTGTTTAATCTATATTTTTCCAGGCTAATGACAAAAGTTTACACAAAAAAGAAAATGAGAACAAAAAGAAACCGACTCACACACAAGCGTTATATGAATTAAAAAAAATAGTACAAAACAAACAGATGACGAGAAGAATGAATGGGACTCAAGGTGCGCTATCATCATTCCAAGAATTCTCTTCGTGCTTAGTTTGTTTAATATGACAGACCCATTAAGAGATAGGCGTGTGCACAAATATATTACACAAAATAATATTTACAAAGAAAAGCATTCAAAAATACACAATGTTTTTTTTTCTCTTACTAAAAACGAAGAGATACAAATAGAAGGGTAAGTCATTTCTAAAGAATAGGACGGTAAAAAAAACAGTAATGTAATTCAAAATCACAAATGAACATGCAACTTAATAGAGAACAAAACAACAAATAAAAAGATGATTTTATGATAGATTACAAGCGAAAAGTCTATGACAAAATATGCGTACACATAATTCAAATAATCACAGTAATAAAACACACACATTACGACAAAAAAGCACAAAATGAAAAAAATTCGAACATACACATATACAGTTTATCATTTTTATCTTCAACGTTCTACTTTCGACTTGTGGTTTGGCGTGTACGTCTAAAAATACAAAGAATATTATGATGTTTCTCCAAATATGTTAAAAAATTTTGTTTCTACCTTTCTGAAACGGTGGGACTAGCTGAACTGCTATTATTAATCGTTATTGTCGACGCTGATGGAGACGTTCCTACTGGCTGAATTGTATCTATTTCTTCGCTATCAAAAAAAAATATACATGTTCTGTAAGTTGGAAAAGGCTTTTATTACATCATACGTACAAATCTGGTCCAAAATTCTTTTTTCGACGAGTTCTAGGCGATGATCTAAAAGTACTTATTTATTTAAATCCGTTCTTTTCCGGCAAAATAAGTTTAATATACTTACACATCGATTCTTGTTGACGTAAGGGGTAATTGTTTTCCGCGTTTTCGTTTTTGTTCTTGTGATTCGTTGTCCAAGGATGTGATTGTCGTTTCACTTTCATTGGTATGATTATTATCACTATCAGTACGTGTTACATCCATGGTTGCTTCATTCTCCTCCTCATTATTATGATTTTTACTGTTCTTTGTCACATTTTTTTTCACAGAATGTGCAGAACCATTTTGTTTTATTGCACCATTTCTTTGTGATGGTAGTGTAACTGTATCACCATTCTCCTAAAGATGTTAAGACAATTTTCTGGTAAGAAAAAGCATAAAATAATTTATTCTTATTCTCATTCTCATTCTCATTCTTACAGTTATCTGTAATCAGATATTGATCTGGGTTTCTAGATTTAGTTCTTTTCCAAAAAAGGCGTACGTCTCTTTCCTTGACAAGCTTACCATTTCTACTGTTTTGGCTCTCATTGCTTGCAACGTATTCATTTTTCGCGGAGCATGCTTTGTTTGCGGTGTGGATAACTGAGGCGGAGATGGTACAACAGTAGTTTTTCGTTTTCGTTTTGTTGTTGTCGATGTTGATGGACTGGAAATTTTTGTTTTTTTTCTTTTATTTTCTTTTTCTTCGGTTTCTGGTTCCTCATTAAATGTCATATCGTCATCATCATCTTCATTATCATCATCATCATCATTATCGTTAGTACCATTATTTAGCGAGTAGAGAGTATTTTCGTCATCACTATCGCTATCTGTTATTTCATCCTCATGGTTTTGTTGTTTTTTAGACTTTGAGACTTTTCTTTGACGTTTTGATTTTGTCGATACAGGTAACTCATCAGCAGAACGAGAACCACCAGCACTACTCGTTGTACGCTTTCGTTTTGGTGATTGTTCTTCTTCCGTTTCTTCACTAGCGTTCATAGTTTTCTTTTTTCTCTTTCCTCCTCTTAATGGTGTAGTGCCTGTTTCATCGAGTGGCACTAATTTCTTTGTTGTTTCGCTCGTTCGACTTGCAGCCGTTGTTGTTGTTGTTGTCGTAGCCGGTTTATGCAGTTTTAATTTAAAATCTTTTGGTAAACATGAATAATGATTATATTTTGTTTTTTTATAATAATATTCAGGTAATGGTACAGTTGAACTAGCCGTACACATCATAATAGATGATGCACGTTGTGATAATATAACATAAGCTAAATCAGCTAAAACATGTAATTTTTTTGTTGAATCTTTTCGTTCTAATGCATCATCTTTATCTGTTGATATTGTGGCATCTTCCGATGATTTAATTGAACGTAATAAACCTTTATAAAATAGACCAACAGTTGTATCACAACGTAATAATAATGAATCAATTAAAAATAGAATATAATCAGTCATTGTATGTAATAAATCATTATCATCAGGTAAAATGAATGCCGGTGATTTTGACAGAAAATATATAAAATACACCAATGAATATTCCGGATTTAATTTACAATCAATTATTGGTCTATCTGATATTGTCTGATTATTATTCGAATTAGCATCATCTTCTTCATTTCCCGTACCATTGATTGTAACCGTTTTACATGATAATTGTAATTTAATATATTCACGACGTTGATCGATGATAGTTAACATTGACCGACGTATTTGATCACGATGTTCTCGTTCCGGTTCCTTAGCGGCAAATGCAACGAGTGCTAACAATTCAATGGGATTTGTTGGTTCACGTAAATGATCAATTAGCTTGCGATATGCTCGTGAACGAATTTGAGCCAATGAGTCCTACAAGAAAAAACAAAAAATTTTCAAAATACCATCGGCACTGTTACACAGAAACAATTGAAGACAACTTGATAGTTAGAATAATGTTTTTCCTCCTACTAAAATTTATAATAATAGATGAGTAAAGTACACTCTTCCCCTTACTCTTAATAATGTTAATATTAACAAAAAGTCATCAGGTTTCATTTTAGCATAAAAATATGGATCACATATCAGTTGTAATAAACATGATAGACCACATAATCGGATATGAACAACTTCTGCTTCACTAGAATAAAGATGGAAGAATAGACATGATTTTCATAATTTCTTCTTGTTGTCAGCTTACTTCAATTGTCCAACAAACTCATCATCATTTCCTTGAATACATTTTCGAATTAATTTGTAGACAATATTAAATAAACCAGCTGAATTATCTTGTAAACCACAAACAGCACGCGTCATCGCTTTGACTAACTCGCGCTGAAACACAGAGACCATCTGGTTAATTATTTTCCAAAAAGAGTACTTTTATTTACTTTCACACGAGCTTCAGCGCCAATTTCCGGATCAGTATTTTGTTCATCGGGTAACAACGTAAAATTCTGAAAAAGAAGAACAATGACATACAATTTTTGACTAGAAAAATTTTCGGTATCCGTACGTATTTTGTGTGTGCATTCTCTTCCAATACATATTTTGAAATATTTCCCAAAATACGTTTTCCAATTTCACCAACTGCTAACGGAGCTAAACGAATCATGTGACCAAGTGCAACTAATCTCGATACAAACAGTTGTTCACCATCGATTTCATCGTATTGTGTATCCTATAAGAAGAAAAACATGATGACAAAGCAATTCCATTAAAATAAAACTACACAAGAAAACTTACATCGATTATTTTTTGAAATATTTTATCTTTTGTATCTGGATATAATGCATTTAGACAATGAATAACGCGTTTGACAATTGGCGGATGTAAATTGAGTAATTCTAGCAATTGCGATTGTAGTGTTCTAGTATGAAGATAAACCAATATTTAAACAAAAATTCTTAAATTCATTTTATTTTTTTTAACTCACTTGTACAACGTTGGATTTTTTGCAATTATCGATGGTGCACACACTTCGATTATTTTCAATAGCGTAGGAGCTAGAATAAGATAGAGTTTTCAGTAGACAAACAGCTGTACATACCAACAAATGAGGACTTTTTAGCTTTTCGCATATTACCTAATTCGAGTATTTGTAATTTTAATAAATTATTCAACACTATCTGTGTATCAATACGATCAAAAATAAATGGATGTTGAAGAAATACCTTTAAGAAAAAGCGAAACAAAATAATAATGACTGAATAAAAAAGACTGATGTATACTTTTAATAGTTGATTGATATTTTCATAATAAACAGCAGTTTGTTCTTGTTCTAGAAATAGAAAGAGTACTCGCAGTCATATTAGCTGTTCTCTCTTGTATTGAGCTTCGGTTTAAATAGATACCATTAGATATTTTTTCATAAATAAATTCCAGTAATTTAGCCATTGATTCTTGATCAAATAGAAGTGTTGATATCTTTTCAAATACAGTTTTGACTAGTGTACACATTTTAGCAAATTGACCATTTCCATTTAGATCAGTGATCGTTATTATTTCATCTTTTCGTTCAACACCAGCCGTCGGAAATCGTTTTTGTTCTTTGATTGATTCATCGAGTAATTGTTGACCAATAATATTCTAACACAAATACGATCAATGTAAATAATTACAACTGTTAACTAGTCTGTTACTTACAGCATAAGCATATGCTTCTTTTGAGTTAATATTTTCAGCTAATGCTTTTTTCAATGGTATCAAAATACTTGATGCTGTTGATGAACGTTCTCGATGTGTTTTGATTGCATGAAGAACGAATGCTTTTAATAAAACTTCATTCTTCTCAGGATTTGGTAAACAACCTAAAAATCAACACATATTCAAAGTAAAAGTAATTTGATTAATCTTGGAAGTATGTGTATTACGTGTAGAAATACTACGAATCAAATTAACAAGTTTTAATTCTGTCAACTCTTTTTGATCATTTGCCATTGATGGATCAGCCATTTGTAAACTAAGTTCGACAAGTCTGAGTAAGTGTCGACGAAAACTGAAATTTGAAAATAAGAATTAATTTATCTAGATAATTAATAAAATAATTTGTGATAGATCAACAATCATCATTATTTTATTATAAAAATAACAAAAGCTTTCGACTTATGCCATAATTCATCTTTAGCTGGAGAGTTTTATTTTGAACTATTCATTTAAATACTAATAATTCATGGCTGTATGTTTGTGGATGTCTACCTAGAACAATTATTTCCTCGTTGTTGCCAGTGATGCCATGAATTATTGGTATTTCAATGCTCCTGCTGTTTTGATAATTGTTGATTTATGCTAAATTATGTTATTTCATAATGGACCGAAGTAGACAGATGATGTGTCGAGAACACTTACACGAATTTGCTATTGATAATTTCTCGAATTGCACTAAAAAAATGCAGAATTATTTTGAAGTGAATGAGTATGAAAATAGAAAAAGCTTGCTTACCGTTGAGCATTTTCATCAACATTCGAATATAAATTTAGCAGAACACGAACTTTCTCATCTGCTGAAAAATCCCAAGGCATCAGATAAAAACTGAGTATTCGTTCAGCTAATAATCTAAATATAAATACTTGTCAAGAATCAGCCTCATAAATCACAAACAACATTATACTTGTCTTGCAACGATGCCTGATAATACAAATTAATGATACAGTTAGCCACCCATGATAATTGTTTTTGAATTTCATCTGACCAACTACTATTTGAACATTCTTTTTTATAACAATGACCGAGGAAATCTAATGTTTCTTTACGAATTTCCCACTAAAACGGTGTATGAAAAATATCATTTTTTTCTCTCTCATAAACTAGCAGTAGGCAAGGCAAGTGTTCCTTACCACTTTATCCCTTGCTCTTTCAATTAAAATTGATTTCATTGTTGTATTAATATTACTCATATTCCCATTTGTTATTGCTCGTATTTGAGCAACTATTTGAGACCGAATTTCTTGATCGACAGAATGACTTAATTGATAAATCAATGCTACAACAAACGTAGAGTCAAGTGACAACTTTTTGTTCTAAAAACAAATAAAAATCAACGTACGCTCTAAATCTGCACGTAATTCTTGATGATTAACAAAAAAACTTTTTAATGGCTTAATGCATGTCAATTGGATCTCTGGAATATCTCGAAATCTAAAAACAAAAGAAAGAAGAGTCACCCTATGATGTACAAAGAATGTATTGTGTACCTTTGCAAAAATGTTGCCCAAAGACTCTTATGTCTTAAGGCAAAATCATTATTTGGTGAACTTGTGACGTATGCGACAATTTTAGCTGCATCGCGTCGATGTTTCTCATTGGTTACCTGCAAAAAAACTCGAATATAAGGTATTTTGACTGTCTAAACTTTTAATATTTACTGTTAAACGATGTTCAATAAACGGTATTAAATCGTCCACAATCGATTCCGATATATGACAAAGTTCATCAAATATATAATAAATTTTATTTGACAAACTTAAATTTTCAATGTCTTCTGTTACGAGAACAGTTTTGAAATACTAGAAAAAAAAATGAATTTATATACACTAATAAGCCACAATTAAGCACAACATCTTACATCAATAATAGCCGGTTTAAGATAAACTGCAGTCCGGCGTATAATTGATTCAACCAATTCGTAGCATTCTTCTCGTAATTTCTAAATGAACAAACGATGGTACAGTCGATAATCTAAGAATATCAAAATGGAAAGAAGAACATTTCTGGCGACTCAATTCAACACAGCAGACAAATCAAGCAAGACACTTCATTTCATTCACAGCACTAAGAATACCCTCATGCTTCAAGATATATTAGTAACAATGTACCTTTTCAGGATCAATTATTCGTGCAAACAATAATTCTAATAATGGAAATGGTATTGATTCGTATTCAGCCAGTATAACAGATAGAAGATCGACCATCAAATTTTTCAGTTGAGTCGTATGATTTTTCCTATTAAGAATATCACGCAAGACGATAAGCAACGTGTGAGGTAGTAAATGAAGATAATACATACTGGACAGCATTAAATAAATTTGTAAAAACGACACTACTGATTTGACATCCACGATTATCTTCTAAATTCACCGCTGGTATAAATGATTGAACCATACTCAAATTCTAGAAAAATACAAAAGTGTAAAGAAAGTCAGTCTTATAAACAAATGAAGAAATATTTGTTACTTCAATCAAATAATATCTTCTACTATACAATGGATCATCGACTTTTTTCAGTCCGGATAATTGTCGAGCCAAGAACAAGAACATATTCTTAAAAAGAGAGACGAAAACTAGCTAAAATAGAATAAGAATAAAAATAACTCACCAGCATTTGTTCTGGTGGTGTATCGGGTAAATTTGGAGCCCATATTCGAATGATATCAGCCAAACAAATTGCGGCATACAATTGAACATCCGCTCGTTCATGTGAATAAAAATAATCATTCACTAATGTTTTATACAGATCAGCAAATAATTCACGTTTTTCATAACTTTGTGGAAGGGATTGTAGTAAACGTTGATTTTTCTACGGCAGAAGAAAAACCAAATTATAAATCAATCGGGCGTTAAAAGTAAACATAATACTTACTGTTAAGTTTTCTAATAATTTGTTTGTGGGTAGATCAGGACTACAACTCAAAACTTGAGATGGTAAGATTTCGATTTCGGAAGACGAATGCATGTCTATAAAAAAATCTTTTAATATAGCAAGCTCATGGCATATAAAGTTTGAATCCAAACCAATAGAGGAAAGCAAAGATGATCGAAACAAAAAGAAAGCTCGATTAAACGAGTAATTGAATTCAAACGTATAGTAACTATTATTTCGTCAGCAATCAAACGCTCTCGTATAAAACTCATTTCACATAAAAGAACAGTAACAGAAACAAAGATCATGAAAAAGAATAATGAAGCGAACTTCAACGAAAAAATTAAATCATTACCGTAAAACAGAAAAACAGCCAAATATAATTGCCTATTTTGCTTCGGGTACACGTTAACTTGAACTCAATTAACTTCAAAAGGAGAATTAGTAGCGTTCAATAAATAAGACAAAAACTACGCGATCTTTTGTCGTGGAGCCTAGTCCTACCACCCTGTTACCAAATCTTATTTTGAGTTTTTCTCTTTCTTTCCTTCTTTTCTTTGTTCAATTTTTTCTTGATATCTAAGATTGAATCAGCCAATAAAAATGTAGAAGTTAGCGACAGCTATGCTCTCAAAAGAAATTTGATGTTGTTATCTTGATGCAGTTTTTTCCTTTTGTTTCATCGTAAGTATACTCTATATGGTATTTTCCACTCGTGGACCGCTAGCTTGCGGTAACGATAGTTCTGCTACAATCGGAGTATTTGGCATGCATATAAAAACAACGCTAGGAAACAATATAATATCTAACAGGAATCTGAGATGGTGTGCAAGCATGCATATTGCTTCCAAGTGCATGCTTGTACTCTGTTTTTTTAACAGTGTGCAGCAAGGTGCATTAGACCCAAAAACTCAGAATTTATACAGAAAGGGAAAAAGAAAGGAACAACATTATTATTCTTGTCGCTCTTAGAACAACTTTCTAACTGTTTTTACTCGGTCTCGCAACTATAATTTTAGCTATAGTTAGAGTCCGGTTATGTTTTTAGCAGAGTTGTCGGATGGTTCGCATCTGGCGTGCTGGTCTCGACGCTAACTTTCTTACTCATCAATTTATATAAGAATCTTACCAGAAACGTCTAAGTCTCTTACTAGTGTCTTACAAGATTCTTATCGGAATCTTATCAGTTTCTTACCTAAGATGGTTTAAAATTTCCCATCGGTAGTCATAAGTGTCTTATAAGAATCTTATAAGATCTTCGTAAGAAATGCATAAGAAGTACCAAAAATTCTTATGAAGTTTTCCAGCCAATAGAAGCAACTTAATCATAACAGAAATCAACAAAACCAACTCATAAGTTCCCTTCTAGTAAATAAGAATAACATAAGAATTTTTGGTACTTCTTATGAATTTCTTACAAATCTCTTATATTACGAAAATCTTATAAGATTCTTATAAGACACCTACGACTGTCGATGAGAAACAATCTTATATAAGGAACTGATAAGATTCCGATAAAAATCTTTTCAGTTTTATCAAAAAAGTTCTGTCTAGGGTTATCATATCACTGATAGAAAAATAAGTTCATGTAGGCTCGCAAAAAAGCACTTTCGTGACTCTAAATGAACTTTATTTTTTTCTTTAGCCTTTTTCAAATTTTCTTTACATTTTGTTTTTATTTATGATAGTCGTAGCCATTGGATATAGGACCATATAGAGTCACAGATTCTTCCTTAAATAACTATGGGAAAAAAATTCTCTTGTTGAATTTTCGGCAATATTAATGTTGTTGTATTTTGATGTTTTCTATTCTTTTTCTGTAAAAATGCGTTTAAATAGCCTTCAACATTTTCTTTTTTAACATAATCACGGCTATTATCACAATTACTATTTCGAGGCGAATCGAAGTTATTCTAAGTGTGAAAATATTCGCACTTATATTTACACGAGAGTGTAAAACAAAACGATGATTCAAGAATTTCCAAGATCTTGGTACGGGAAGTCAGAAATTACAAGATGTTCAAGATCTTGAATCAAGATCTTACTGAAAAAAGTCCTGAAGAAGTCAAGTTCTATCTTTTACTGTATTCATCGTCCTCATTACTCTTCCTTACGCTGTCATCATTCTAAATATGTTCGCATTCCAACCTCTGTCAATGGTTTTTCTTCTCAAACTGTTTTCTCTTCTTTTTACTATTTAACTATTACTGACTGGAATAAACTTCCTGAGTCAGTTATTTGTTTTTCTTCATTAGCGTCTTTCAAAAAGGCACTAGTTCAGTATCTCTTACAGAAAAATTTCAGCCGTGTTCCTGGTCATAATTAACTGGTATTGGTTGTTTCTCTAGAGTTATTTTATTTGTGTCTATCTTTTATTGTTACTTTTATATCCTCCTTGCATATTCTAGTCTCTTTTTCTTTTCTTTTGTTTACTCCTGTTATTATCTTTAGTTTTATTTATTTATTTTATTTATTTTCTTTTTTTGTTTCCCTATCTCCCTTTATTCTGGTCTGAGTCATCGATATTACAGGTCATGGACTTCTGAAGACTCTCGAATGATTCGAAATAATAATAACACAATTAATAACAGATCTTGGTTACAAGAAGTTTCACTAGGGTCTCTACCACAAGTTCGATTTGTACTGGTCTCGACGCTGAGTTATCATATCACCAATAGAAAAATAAAGTTCATTTAGAGTCGCGAAAAAATGCTTTTTGTTGGTGGTGACTATTTTTACTGACCGACTGACTCTACTGACCAAATTTGATTGGTCGATTGGTCTATCCCCATGGTTATACCAATCGAATTTGGTCAGTAAGGTCGGTCGGTCAGTAAAAATAGTCATCACCTTGTTATTTCTAAATGATATGAACTGTATTTTTTTCTTCACGTTGATATGATTGAACGAAATAACGGAATACCCACATATTATCTAAAAGTTGAAGAAATTAGAAGAATACACATGGAAACAAAGAATTAAAGTGAGGAGTATTAGAATGATAAAGAGAAATAGTTTTACGTTTTATTCTAACTTTAATTGCATATAAAAAAAATTAATCGATTCGGTTCGGTTGCAGAAAAACACGAACGCATCCTACCTCTGATAAGAAAGTTACGTGTAAGACGGTACAATCTACGTAAGGTAGCGCCTTACGCCTTCAGCATAGTCTGACAACTCTCGTTTTGGGATCTAGCTGAGATGATCAATAGCCAATCCGTTTATTCAATTAATGTTGCTGACGGACTCACTCATTCACAACTATAAAGAGACGGAGGAAAGTCAAAACACTCTTTAAACACGACTTTTTAAAAAAAGAACATTCTAACATAGATGTTTTTTGTGAGATTTTGGTTCAAATCTTCTTGTTCAAATTGCTTTTAAAGCGCATTGAACAACCAGGATGTTCTCCAAATAAAAAAATTGAGTTTTGTTTTGTATTAAATTTGGTTTTAGTTTTCATAATTATTTATTTTAGATAAGAACATGGCTACTCCTTCTACTCAAATTGTTGATCAATCTCCGTTTCTCTCGTCATCCAGTAATCCGATTGAAATGCAAGGTAATATAACTACATCATCACCGGTACACGATGGTTCAACGTTGGACGAACCAGTCCTTGTCACTATTAAACGTAAGTTCAATTTATAGATTATGTTTTGCATTATCTTGCTGCTGACTGCTTCTAGGTGATTTGTCGGCTGTGTTAAGGAAATTTGGCCATGCGCTGGTACCCCGCGAAACTCAAACATTGTTAAAAGACTGGGATCTATGGGGTACGTTCCTTCTCTAGACAACGATCTATTGTTAATCGCAATGATATGGAATATTTTAGGGCCGTTAATGCTGTCAACTGTATTAGCTGTTCTTCTGCAAAGTAATCCGACAAAGTCTAGTTCGGGAGTACAATTTGCTGAAGTATTTTCATTGATGGCGATTGGTTCAATTGTAGTTACCATTAATTCTCAATTATTAGGTGGTTCGCTTTCATTTTTCCAAAGTTTATGCATTTTAGGTTATTGTCTGTTGCCGTTGTTATTAGCTGGATGTATAAACAATGTTTTATTATTTCTACCAGTAAAATCATTCGTAATATTATTAGTAAGATTTATCATTGTTTTCGTTGCATTTTCTTGGACAATTTATGCTAGTATGAAATTTTTGGGTACAACACAGCGTCCGAACAGAAAACCATTAGTGATGTATCCTGTATTCTTATTTTATTTTGTTATTGCGTGGTTTATTTTACTGCATGCTCATCCTGCATAAAAACCTCTTCCAATGTTATGTTTCTGTTTTTATTCTCATATGTGCGTGTGTACTCCTTGATCCTAATTGAATATATGAACCAAAGTTACGAACATAAAACGTGGGATTGTTATGTACACTTTTCAATATTATCTTCGTATTTGTTATGTAAATATCCTATTTTGTTTTTATTTTTATTTTAAAACGTTATTAAGTTTGATTATTCCTTCGTACTGTGTTATATGAGACTATATGATATAAGAATCAAATTTTGCTGATGAACTTTTGTTTTTTTTATTTTTGACTGGAAAAATGAATAAATCGAACAACAACTTAATGCTTTGAAAAAATATGTGTGATTGAAAACGAGGACGAAGTTACCATAGACATAAGTTGTACGATTATTTATTTTGGAACTAACATGTACAATGTATCTTTATAATGCAAAGGACTTTCAAAAATTTCTATTGATTATTCAAATATCAATGATACAGCAAATTCGATGGATACATTTCAGTATTTAAACACAATTGGAATTCTATATATACAATGATTAAAACTTAATTCACCTTATTTATTAACAATTTATTCGAATAGTCACTATTTGTCCCAAATTAAAAAGCACTCCATTCCTTTTTGAATAACGTTTGGAGAAAAAGACATCCGATTTTTGCCATTTCTTGACCAAGACTGAGGCACCTTGTATGCAAAAAATTCAAATACTCTGTGCTTCATTTACGTTATGAAGGAATGTAAAAACGCATTATGCAATCACGAAAGGTTTCGCACTGTAGTCTTTCAGGAGTTGTGAATGAATCCCGTTGGAAATCTAGGTCAGAATTCGGAAAGTTGGAAATAAAATATTGCTCGCCAGTATATATCGCCGAAATTGTCCTCTAAAAAACGTTAACACCTACATTAGACGAAATAACTATACGCTAATCTTAGCCTGTTTTCATAAAAAATTGTAAAAATCTATAGATCAATCAAAATCGATTGAAAGTGTTTCAAAATATCAAGATTTACTCTATTTTAAGCATTTTTATTGTAAAACTTCAAAGTCAACGATGATGATATCAAAGGAAAAGAGCTGGTGGTGCTGGAAAGAAAAGGAGAATTTATATGAGCAGAACGAAACGACTGTTCTGTGCGATCTAAATTTATAGTCACTGGCTATAACTAATATGAAAGTGGAAGACGGAACAACATCGAACACAAAATTGACCGATTATTAACCAGACTAAAACATGTGTCAAATAACAACAGTCATCAACTAAAATGAGATATAAGCATCAGTAGTGATAGTGATGAACAAAAAACATATAATACATCTTATAGAAGTTAAATAGTATGAGGTATAATTCTCCTCGAAAACCATTTGTCAACAGGTGTCTCGCACATCTTCATTATGATTATACGCTAACTATCATCCGTTTTATTATAACTCATTGCTACATACAATTTACAATAATTTTGTTATAATAGTAGTGGAAATAATCTTAGATAATAATCGAGAAGATGTCTAAGTATACGATCAACACCAAATAGAAATGACAAATAAACAGGGCAACAATAATCAACAATGCATAGGTAATTTTTGTTGTGATGATGAGAATAACCAGCTTTAAGCAAAGAAACAACTAAACAAACATAAATGGACACATTTAACAAAGCAGAAACAAAAAGCATCTTATAATCATTCGAAGAATACTAGTTGTTGTTTGTAGCGTGAAATATTTAATAACCGGGATGAAATCAAGAAATAAGTTGAGCATTAAGGAAGACAGCTGCGACATTTCATCAACCAACTATTTACTCCTGTCGATACATCTACATCGTTCGACACATTAATAAATCATCTAGCTATTGTTCAATCTCAAGCACATAAAAATCACCCATCTTCAAGCAGTATATATCGGAGCCAAACACCAAATATTCTTGACCAAAAACGATTGTATTATGCAAACGTACTGGATAAACAAATCTTTTCACTTTCATCCATCAAACGAAAATGGCGACACAGTCTATATTAATAGTTATCCATATCTATTATAAATCGTCTAAAAAAACCTTAATAGAGTACATCGAATGGTCAACAACAAAAATTAACATTAAACCATAATTATTATCATGATGGAACACACAGAAATTCTTTTTATGAATCTAATAGTACCTCGACTATTACCAGTAACACAAACGGATTCTAAGGATGTAAATGATGAAACAGTACAAGCTTTTGCGAGAAGGTAATTTTTTTCAAGATTTTTCACGGGCTATCTACTTCGAAATTCTTTTTTAGACTTATTTTGGAAGCAACTCGAATCTAATAAAGGTTTTTACTGCCTAAATAGAATTCTTTCAGCATAAATGCTGCTCTAGGAACAAGTGAATCGACCGAGCTTCTATTTTGTTCTAGCGACTATTATTCATCAGTCAGCTATTTACAAATGAATTAAAGGAAAAATAGAGATTGATAACTTCAGATGTAACCGTATATTTCAAAATAACTGATCCGGAGACAGTGGAGTAAGTTAAAAGCTATGGAACTTCGAAGTTGAATGGGTGTATTATTTCAGTTTATTGGATGACAATATGGATCTTTTACTAATGTAAACCAAATTCGATATCGCTCACGTGTTGAACGATTGTTATTTTATTTAAAAAATAAAGAAAATAAATGTGAATTGTTAGGATTATGTTTTTGAATTAATATAACCAAGTACATTTTTGGAAGATGCAAAATTCAGACATAAAAATGAGGGATATTAGCGTATATTAGATAAGAGCAAATCGCTTTGCGATCTTCAGAAAGTTGCGGTGAAACTCCACTTTGTCTTAACCAAGCAATCCCAAAACGCTTTTTGTGATCTCCGAGTGTCATACAGCAACAATATTTCTCGAAGAATATGCCGGTTTGCAAAAACTGAGAGAATTTTCCGAAACTACTAACATTTCCGATGTTAAATACTAAAACGAGCAGAGATCTGTTACACGACAACTTGTTGCAATGTATAGGCTTTAATAGATGTGAAAGAAACAAGAAAACAATCACTGAGTCGTCTTCTCAGAAAATCGAATTCGATTTTCCAACTATTTAGAAAATCGCTGTCGAATTTCAAGAATGTTGGGAATTATTTATAGAAAATCGAGCGGATTTTCTAAAAAAATTCTAGTAGAAAATCAACATTTCCTACACAGTCAGAAAATCGCTGAGGAATTTATAAAAGTTGGAAAATCCTTGGCGATTTACCAGATCGATTTTCTATAAAGTCGAAAATAATTCCAAATTACAGTGCACTGAGACGACCTGTAACATTAACCCAAAAATTTTTTCACGCTAAAATGATGCACTTTATATTCATTGAGGACGGCTGGTAGGTTCCAAGGAGGATATGATCCTAAGAGAATATGTATGAACATATGAAGAAATATCAAAAAACGTTTTTTGACATCTATCTCATTCGAAAAAGCATTTAATTTGGGTATAAGAAATTGATTTTTTAGACCTTGGAATCTTAAAATGACGATTAATAAAAGTTTTACGAAAGCTCTACAAAATTTGTCAAAGAAATGTTGTTTATAGTATTTTGGTTATTACTTCGAGACGTTCCATTCGCAACGAAATTTTTTCAAGAAATATTTGATGTCTTGTTATAGAAGAAGAAACAATAAGAGATGACGATAGTAAGAGATCCGTTTTATCTAAAAAGCAGCGACCTGATGTATATTCATGCCTATTAGCCAGCTACTAGGCAGATAATTAAATTGCAGCCTAGCATTTTCTCGGAGTAAAGCTGCATTTGTGTATTATTGAAGAAAAGCTGAAGATACTAATGTTTTAGCAAAATCATCGAGTTGGATCATACCAAAAATGTTAAATGGTCCCATTTTTGCCAGATGAAGTTTCTAAAGCTGAAAACTTGGATTTAGTAGTCATTTGGGTGGTACTTTCGAACGACATAAGATTCGAAATCTAAATTTCGTCGAAACCTATGATGGCCTTAAGAACTGTCTATGTTTTTTTCATTAAACATTTTAAAACTTTTTTGAGTAAGCCATTCGATAGAACTTACAAAGTTGTACTTACGCTGAAAATTTCAAGGTCACAAGTTTCAAGTTGATCTGATGGAGCATTTATTGCTGCACAACAAAGCACTTTCAATATAAATTTACAATTGCTGTAAAAGACTCAAAACTTAATGCAACATCTCATGCTAGATTCAAGGGTTTAAAAGTAAAGTTAGCTAGTGTGGTTTTTGACTTACAAGGCCTGGAAGGGTTGACTGTGCCCAGAAACCCTCAAGTTTGACGTCGATTGTATCCCACATTACGCTTCAACTTTAGATCAGAATATTTATAATCATCAAAATTTATCTGGAACAAAATTTATTTGTTCGAAACTTGTACCATAAAACGTAATTAATCCATATACTGTTTTCTACATAATTCTGCATGTCGATATCATGGTACACTCTCTGAGAAGTTTG